ATAGGAATTTGTAGGGATACTGATGATAATCGATTAAAAATTAAAGGATCCCATGCTTAGACAGAGAAGTTTGTTTTAAAAATCAGCAGAAAATCGAAGATTGAAATATTCATTAAAATTCGATATTTTTCGATAAAAATCGATGTACAATATATATACCGAAACGATTAAAACATTTTTATAAATGACAATGAAATCCTTGGTTTTAAAATTGGTTTTTATTTATTTCTTTCGATAAATTTGATTTTAAAAACTCCATTTATTTTGCCACCACTATCCTAATTAACTGATCCCCTACTGATCTAAGCCTGATTAATGATAAATCTTTTACAAGACATGTGTTGTAAGATTCTGGTTTACCGCCGCACTTTCGCTTTAAAAGGCCAGGCCAGTTTGTTAAACTTTCAAGGGTCACTCGGTTATGTAATGGCCCGAGCCCAGATTCTGTGGAACTGGTTTTGCCACCAGTAGTGGCCAGGTCCCAGCAGCTGCCAGCTCCAGCTCCAGCTCCCTCGAGGTGACCCTCGACGGTTCCCAAAAATTGAATGGGTGGCGTTTCATTTAGCGCGACAAGGATTCCAATGGCAATGGCCCGCTATTGTGGCCCATAAATTGCTGGCCAGAAACTGGTTAACGCTCTCGCCTGCCGGTGTCCTTGATAAGGCTTATTAATATTTTTTTGTTGTTTCTGGGTCTTTGGCGGGGAAAAACACGTTTTTATTCGCACCGCACCGCCGCCTTTAATTTTGAGTCAAGCTCAATCGCTGCAGGTTTATTTTTTTATTTTTTGTTTCAAGTAAATTTCACAGATCTTAAATGAATTTCAAACGCCATTTATCCATCGGCCGGGGAATATCCATTAACTAAGTGCCGTTAACGAGTTGTTTATGCGATCTGCTGAACCCGAATGTTAACAATTATTCAATGGCCGTGCAAACATTTTACATTTTGTCGCAATCATATTCATAAATTTACGGGCCAAGCTAACTGTACTTTTTATTGTTTAAACAAATACGAGCCAGAACATGTTTTGGCGCAATTCATTTAATTTTTATCGCCCGATCTAAATCAATTTAAGGTGAATGTTTCACAGATCATTGCGGCGATAACTCAACTTTTATTTATACGCGAGCAGCAGAGTCTTAATCGATATTGAATATATTGTGTCAAGCTGACAAATTAAGTCTATTAGGTGTGTTTTATTTCCAAGGACATTCGTCTGAATTTATTCTAATTTTAACCTGAAAGATTTGAATTTTTAGTTATTTGTGGCTAAGATTAAATCAAAATAAATCTATTTAGATTGAAAACTACTTGAAGGAAAATATATTTTCTGCCATTTTAGATTTTATTAAATATTATCTTTACCTTATATCGGTATCAAAATTAAAGAGATTGTAAGTGGAGCTTATCTTATAATTTATGCCTCCATAAAATATGCCTGAATTTAAACTTGAAAAGCTTTATGATGCTTATGAATAATTTATTCGTTTAATTAAATCAAAAAGCCATAATTTATGAAACAAATCTATGTAATTATTGTACTCATTAATTTGTTAATGCCATATAGAATTTAATATTTTTTTATTCTTGTCCTTACCTTTTTTAAAACTTTCCATTTCGCTGTTTCGCATGTTGTAAAATTCAGATAGAGCCTTCCATAAAACTTTATATATATCTCTACTTCCTAGACCAGAATTCCAAGCCAAATATAAAACTGAAACCAAAAGAACAAAACGAAAAATAGCTAAATAAAGTGGGAAACTAGTTAGTCCGGGTCCGACGTTTGTTTGGACCGCAGATTTACATAAATATAAATCTTAAGCAGAAAACAATATAGTCCGCCTTGACTGAAGCTGTGTAGAATTTTTGTGAGAGACGCGAACAAATGCGTTATGTATAGGGATAAATTTGCATAAATCATAAGCACAATTAACGATGTTTCGGCGCTTGTTCTTTCCGAACTGCTGACGCAGGTGACGTGACATTTGACTCTGAAATTTATACGATCCCCTCAGCGACAAGATCCGCGAAATTTGAATAAAACCACGCACTCTGAGATATTGTCCAAATCCCCGCCTTCTCCTCCTCATGCTCCATTCAGAGATGCGTGAATCTTCTGGGTGGGAAGAGAGTCATCGGCCTCCTAATAAATATTCAGTGGCGACTCTTTCATCTGCCTTTGCCAGCGAACACTTTTCATTAGCCGATTTGCGGCTGAATTATATACAATTCAAGATATATCTACTATGTATCTTTCGGTGTCTCCTCGAGACTTGATTTCAATTTTAATGGCCCGTGCGTGAGGGTATTTAATTTGGTCTGGGATTAGATAAGCCTCTGTGGTCTCTACCTGAATGGGTAGAAGCTTTATAGAAACTGTTCTAGGCAGCCTGAATGGAGCTTATAAAAAGAGTTTTTGTTACGTTTTTAAATGCTAATATCATACATCCTTAAATATTCACAAATAATTAAATAAACTACTTAGATCTAATCTTTCTCAATTTCTAAATTCTCTAGTTTTGACAGTAGTTTTTAAGGAGTCCAAGTCAAATGTCAATGTAAGATTCTAAAATTACTCTCCACAAAAACTGTGTTAACATTTAAGCCCCTTAAAAATGCTCAGCACTAAGGTATAAAATTCCACCAAAAAACTACACAAAAAAACCAAAAGAAATAGCTTTGCAAACAAAATTAAATATTTGTTTACAAAAATGCTGGATTTTGGCAGAAGTATTTTTTGTTGGAAGAAAAACTGCAGTAAACTTTGTGATTTATGTTTACCTTCTACTCTTGGGTTTTCTGATGATTCAGTTCAGGCCAGTTGACTCTATCAGATACCATTAACAAGACAGTGTTGGCAACGCCATTCGGAAATAGCTCCAAGATGAGATCTTTGTCGGTGATAAAGCTGAAAGCGAATCTAAATATCATATTCATGATTTCCGCACCCGGAGACAAAGGCGAGGAATATTCGAATAAAAAACCCCTCTAAAACTACTTCTAGATCCACAACAATATCTTGAATTCTGCTGAGGAGTAACCGGTTCAGAATGCGGCTAAGAACGAGCGCAAGTCATGGACTTCACTCGTCCTTCGTCGGAGTCCAAAATCTCAATCGATTCTCGCTTGAAAACAATTGTTGAATAATCACTTGCTGCAATGTCCGATGATGCGACAAAATAAGGCTTTTCCATGCTGGCAAAAATAGAAAAATCAAAGGGGGAAAAATAATAAAAACAACGAAGACGCTTCAGTTATCCGCAATGACAAATTTGAAATGTCAGCAGTCGTCGTCAAGTGTCATTGCCTTTGGCGTTCGCTTCGGCGGGGATGTGCGAAGCAAGTTATGACCCGAAAAGGTGGCCAGCCGGAGGTTTCTCACCGCCGGATTGTGCAATAAACGGCCGCCGAGAATTAATTGTTCCACCGTCCACTAAGTGGGGTGACTTCCGTCTGAGTTATAGTACATCTTTTAGTGAGAGATTCTAGCATTAGCAGACCCTGAACGGCTGACCACGCACCTCTGGCCTCTGGAAAGAGTTCAAAGTCATACTTCTATTTTGGGCCGGCCGGGCTCATGACTCCGTCCCGTCAGTGGGTGTCACTCTGATTGGTTCATTAAAAGCTTGGCGTGACTTCGAAAATTAATAAATTCTAGTTATTATAAACGAAATGCGACGAAATACAAACTGCAGGCGATGACAAACGCTGGCGAAACCCGTTTGGGTGTCGCTCGAAGAATGCAGCTTCTTCGCAAGATCGCGCCGATCGCGGATTGCTGTTCGCAGATCGCAGATCGCCGAGTTGTGTGCGTTTAAAGGTCATTCGTTCGGAGGAGTCAGAGATGAGTCGAGCTGAGATGCGCCGAGATGAGCCTACCTTAACATTCAACTCCAGCTGCTGACCCCATACGCATTGGGCCTTTTTGGCCCAGTCAACCGGTTCAATTTTCCACACCCGGAGAAAAAGTGTGACTTTTAAGCGAAAAGTGTTGGAACTAAAAACAGTTTCAGATCAATATTAGAAAACAAAAATATGAGGTTGTTATTTAAATACATTTTTAAGGCTAATAAAGGTTCAAAATATTTACTTGCCTTAAATTTTAATAAACAATATTTTGTTTTTAGTGTCAATAAATAGAAATTATGAATAAATAAAAGTTTCATAGCTTGGAAGCATTTTCAAATTATAATGAGTACATTTTTGGGTAAGTTACGTTCGACTCAATAAATAAAATATTTTTCTCTTAGTGCATACCCCTGCACTGCATGTGTAGGCCTGGGGACCTGACCGCGTCTGGGTAATTGCCATTAGCCAACGCCTGATGATGATCTCGCTGCTCCCGAGTCTTATTTGCCTTGGCAAGCTTCGATGGGAGCCTTGACTTGGCTTGGCTCGCAGCGCGCATCTCTCGGCTGTCGCGCAGCGGCGATTGATGAAATTTCGGTGGCTCAGCGGCTCGGTAGCTGGCCGGGGGACCCAATTTACCAAGTTTACCAAATCTACCGCCGAATGTACCAAATCGGCCAAATTAAACGCTGCACGACAACGTGTTTAACACTCGCCAAAGAGACTTCTGCCAAAATTATTTGCTGGCTAAGTAGAAATGCCAATAAGAGCGGGCGCTGGCCACCGGTTGCTCGCTGCCTGTCTTCTGCCATAATTGCTGGGCCGCACTTCGATCTACTAGGTGCTTTTGTTTTAGCCATGTTATCTGGCTGTTAACTCACAAACATCAAACACAAACAACTCAGACTGGTTGGCTGGCCTGGTCAGCCAGTCTGAGCCTCGGTCGCCGTCGCGGTCGCTGTCGACTTCGCAGTTGGCGCATCTTCATCTGGCCAAAACGCTTTCGATTTCGGCTTTTTGGCCGAGTGTTAACAGCTGTCGCCCAGGTGAAGACGCCGCTGCCAGCGCCGACAGCGGGCGGGCAGATGCTGCGTCCGAGTATATATAGAAAATCTACACGTTTTGATGCTTTAGTTGGTATTCCACACTCGACCTAGAAGTTAAACCAACTTAGCTTGGCATCGATCAAATTCAATCGCCCATTGAATTTGATACGATCGGTCGCGTCTTCACCTCTTCCTCCTCCACGTCCGCCAGGATTAAGCGCACGCACCAGCAAAGGATTACCCAATACAACAGCCACTCGTAGCAGTCCGAAAGTGTACACCATGGTAACCGAACCCAGTTCCCAGTTCTCAGTTCCCCGTCCAATCTAACGTAATCTCTGCCCCAAAACGAACAATGATCGTGTGCAAAGTGCAACAAGAAAAATATACTGAAACAAGTGTCCCTCTCGGTGTGAAGACAAACAAGACATTTCGCAAAAGGAAACAGTGGGAAGCACAGGGAAAAACTATCAGTTATTGAAGCTTGAAAAATATCTATCAAATCAAGAGAGTAAACATACAAAAGTTTGCCAATTAAGAGATCCTAAAATCACGTAACAAAGTCTTGAGTTTTTAAAATATAAATGTATTTTAATATGTGTTAAATTGATAATCAAAATATATTCCACAACCTTAAGAATTCAGTCGTTAATTTTTGCGATTTAAAAACAGTTTAAATATGTTTTAAAAGCAAAGGATTTATTTTCTTTGTAAGATATATATGTAAATATTTTTTTAACGAGTAACTATGATTTAACGAGTTTTTTGAAGATTTAATTACTTAAAGTTTGTCGCTAAATATGATAATGTTGAATTATATTTTGCAATGACATTTTTCTACATATTAAAACTAAACTTTGTGTATTCTATATTCTATATCTAATATATTTTTTTTTTATTAAAAGATCTGTAAAATCTTAAAACCATTTAAAATTGCAAAAAAATAAGCCTAAAATTTGATATCTATAATATTTAAATTACAAATAATGGATACAGTTATGCATTATTTGGAAAGAACAAAATATGAAACCATAAATATATCTTTACCGTATAATTATTATTCAAGCAACTTTTGGAATAATATAAATCTTATAACAAATATTTCGTTGCCTAAATTAATTTCCAAAGTCTAACAGTCATCTTCTACCTTTCCTTTAACATTATAGTCTTCTTTACTTATAATAGCAAAAATGTATGTTACATTTTGTGGGCACTGTCTGTGGTTTTTCCCCTGTGCACTCAAGGGCCACACAAATTTCCCGCAAGAGCACCGCAAACAGCAAGAAAAAGCAAATAAATTGCCAAAGCGACTGCAGTTCCAATTCAATCGCCATCTATTTGCATTTCACATTTCGACGAGGGTCCAGTTTTGGTCCAGACCGGGGCTATCTCAGTCCCGCTGACCAGCTGCCCACCAGTTGACATTTAAGCCAGCGGATCTGTATCTGTATCTTTGTACTCTGTACCCCCGTAGCTCTGTATCTGTTGAGCAAGTGCCATCGGGTGCAATGTTACGCATACGCCGTGGTGGCCGCCCACGGTGTCCACGTCCGACTGCTTGAATCGCCTTGGCCATTTGCGTATTAAGTCATTAGGATGGACCAGCTGCATGTGCATTCTGGCATTCGGGCTGCCGTTTCTATGTCAGCATTGACATGGCTGAAGATGAAATTAAAACTTGTTTTGTTTTTTCCATAATTTTCGCTTTTGCTTCTGACATTTGCGAGTGGCAATTTGCGATTGGCGTAATTAGGTAAAGAGCCATAAAAACGTTTGCCTTAAGTCATATTCTAGATGCTGCCATTGAGGGCGGCGACAATGTTGCCGAAGAACAGCTGTAAGGGTTATTCACAGGTGCTAAATCTCTCTCACAGGTTGGCAGAGTCTCTCACAGTTTTGGACCAATTTAATTGCCCCGAAGTTTTGGCATTGAGGCTCTGCCCTCGAAGCGGTGTGAATCGGATTAATTAGTCGCCAATTAGCATAATGAACAGCCAAGGGAAACCGGGTTACTTCAACTTTTGGTAGAAATAATATGTATTTTATATAGTCCTTTCACTTTCTCGGCTTTCAGACTCCTCGCTACCTGCCATAAGTCAAACCCGATTTGTCTCTCGAATTCCTAAGCGAAATTGTGATATTTGAAACGAGTTAGAACAGCCAAAAGTTCAGGTTCATTAGCATAAATTATTTTAAATCATTTACATACAAAAGTCAAATATTTCTCGAAATTAGCAAACACTCGGAGGCGCTCGAGCACATATAATAAAGGAAAAAGAAGACAATGTAGTCCCAGCCGCATTTGGAGGTAGTGGCTATAATCTAACAGATTTGGTTATAAACGACACCCGAGGCAGACTCTTTTTTATGGCGGTGCGTATGCTAATTTCGGCAGGCGACTTCAGATTTTCTCACTAGTTTTATGGCCCGTCTTGGCTGATTATTATATAATCATGGCTAGAACGGGTCTCGCCGGATCCGGGCCGGTTTCTGGCATAATCGGCTATTTATAAAACCCACGAAAATTCTCCTCCGACAGCTATCGACTGCCCAATTAATTGAGCTCATCGACCAGCGATGAGCACTTTCATTAACTAGCGATGACCTTGCCGAAACTGCGGCGACAAAAATGCAAATGAACTCGCCTCGTCGGAAGCCATAATTCAGGGGCTGCTTCCTCGACTCCAGAGCGCGTATTTATCTCTTGTCTGCATTAGCATTGTGTTTCAATCGAGCCAATCTGCAAATTTACAACGGCCTGACCTAGAGATGCTAATGCCTGTCAAAGTTGAATGTCTGTGTTAACATTTCGGGTGATTTTCAATGCATTATGCTAATGCGGCGTCTGCGACCGATCTCTGGCTGAACTTTACCACAGTTTTGAACTGCAGGCCATCGGCGTTGGGGTCGGTGATGGACTCGGATTTTAACTTGGAGTTGGTGTTGGAGATGAAGATGAAGATGGAGATATAGTGTCGGAACCGGGCCAAGTTGCCACGAAGCGTGAAGAGGCGATTAGCCTAGAAGGCGATCGATTAGTCGCAATCACATTGTTAGAGCCAGTCGTTAATCTTGCCACCTTCAAAACAGCAATAAAGCCATCCACCTGCACTAGAAATTAATGCAGCCAACAAGGTTTCTTAAAAACGAAACAGATCCTAGGGATAAAAAGACATTCTCTGCGAAATATACTACTCCTTTATAGACATGAAATTACCTTAAAAGAGATAATAAAAAATATACATTAAGAATGATTGATGAAGATACTGCTAATAGAAGAAGAAAATTAAATGTGATGATAATAATAATTTATTAATTCAAAGAATAAACTTAAATAATTAGCACTCGTATTAAAGCAAGATTATAATCGTTTTTGGCGTGATTACATATTGGTTCATAAATTTAAATAGAAATATTAAAGTCTTGTTTCCTCTTCTCCACAGAGAAGTGCACTGTTCGTCGTGGCGCTTTGCGCTGTGGCTCTGGCCACCGCATCGGCCGACACCCATGAGGTAAGAGATTCTAAGCTCTGTCCCAGATCCTCCAGCAACTCATTCCTCGCCCCAACTTACAGCGTAAAACTCGTGCCGCCGAGGGATACTTCTACCCGGAGCCCAAAGTGCCGTTCGAGCTGCCGCCTCGCACCACCTCCCCACCTCCCACCAGGCCGCCCACTCGGCCACCCACTCCTCCCCCGACCAGGCCACCCACTCGTCCTCCGACGAGGCCGCCACCCACTTACTTGCCGCCCACCAACAAGCCTCTGCCGCCGGTGACCACCCGTGCTCCGCCACCACCGCCGCCACCAAGGACTCCTCCTCCAACCAGGCCACCAACTCGGCCCCCAACCACCCGTCCCCCGGCAACTTACCTGCCGCCCACCAACAAGCCACTGCCGCCAGTGACCACTCGTCGCCCGACTCCTCCTCCACCACCAAGGACCACCCAACGGCCGACCACTCCGGCTCCAACCTACTTGCCGCCCACGAACAAGCCTCTGCCGCCAGTGACCACCCGTGCTCCCCCACCACCGCCGCCACCAAGGACTCCTCCTCCAACCAGGCCACCAACTCGGCCACCAACCACCCGTCCCCCGGCAACTTACCTGCCGCCTACCAACAAGCCACTGCCGCCAGTGACCACTCGTCGCCCGACGCCGCCTCCTACCAGGCCACCGCCGCCTCCTACCCGCGCTTCGACTCCGGCTCCCACCTATCTGCCGCCCACGAACAAGCCGCTGCCTCCAGTGACCACCCGTGCTCCAGTGCGCACCACTCAGCCTCCCACGAGGCCACCAACGAGGCCACCAACTCGTCCTCCAACCAGGCCGCCAACCACCTATCTGCCACCCCCAACTGTGCGCACCACTCAGCCCACTAGACCACCAACTCGTCCTCCAACCAGGCCACCAACCACCTACCTGCCACCCCCGACTGTGCGCACCACGCGTCCTCCTCCCCCACCAACTCGCCCCCCGACTGCGCCGCCCACCACCCGTAGGCTGACCACACCGGCTCCTACTTACCTGCCACCTACCAACAAGCCCCTGCCGCCAGTGACCACTCGTGCCACGACCCGTGCTCCAGTGCGCACCACTCAGCCACCTACCAGGCCGCCAACTCGCCCTCCCACTCGTCCACCAACCCGCCCTCCCACTCGTCCCCCAACCACATACCTGCCACCTCCGACTGTGCGCACCACCCGTCCTCCTCCACCACCCACCCGTCCACCAACCCTTCCCCCAACCCGTCCCCCAACCCGTGCATCCACTCCCGCTCCCACATACCTGCCACCCACCAACAAGCCTCTGCCGCCAGTGACCACTCGTGCTCCTGTGCGCACCACACAGCCACCTACCAGACCACCAACCCGCCCACCCACTCCTCCTCCCACAAGGCCACCCACTCGTCCCCCAACACGCCCACCAACACCTCCTCCCACTTACCTGCCCCCCGTGACGGTTCGTACCACTCGTCCTCCGCCACCACCCACCAAGCCACCAACTCGTCCTCCCACGAGGGCCACCCAGCCACCCACTAGGCCACCAACCAAGCCTCCTACCAGGCCACCGCCGCCTCCTACCCGCGCTTCGACCCCCGCTCCCACTTATCTGCCGCCCACGAACAAGCCACTGCCCCCAGTGACCACCCGTGCTCCAGTGCGTACCACTCAGCCGCCCACGAGGCCACCAACTCGTCCCCCAACTCGTCCCCCAACCAGGCCGCCAACCACCTATCTGCCACCCCCAACTGTGCGCACCACCCAGCCCACTAGGCCACCAACTCGTCCTCCTACCAGGCCACCAACCACCTACCTGCCACCCCCAACTGTGCGCACCACGCGTCCTCCTCCCCCACCAACTCGCCCCCCGACCGCGCCTCCAACCACCCGTAGGCTGACCACCCCCGCCCCCACCTATCTGCCGCCCACCAACAAGCCCCTGCCTCCAGTGACCACTCGTGCCACGACCCGTGCTCCAGTGCGCACCACTCAGCCACCTACCAGGCCGCCAACTCGCCCTCCCACTCGTCCCCCAACCACGTACCTGCCACCCCCGACTGTGCGCACCACGCGCCCGCCGCCACCACCCACTCGCCCACCCACTCGTCCCCCAACCCGTCCTCCCACTCCCCCACCCACGTACCTGCCCCCCAGTCACCACCCGTGCGACCCGCCCGCCACCACCGCCCACCGTGAGGACCACTCCTTACGTGCCACGCCCCACTGTGAGGACGACACAGTATGTGCCACCGGTGACCGTGAGGACCACCCCCTACGTGCCTCAGACCACCAAGCACCAGGGCTACCAGTACCCTCCCCCCAGCATCCCCTTCGAGTTCTAGGGCGATGAGGTGCTCCCCCCTCCGTCTCCGTCTCCGTCTAGCATCGCAGTAGCAGGCACTTGTCCAGGGCTAGATTGGTCTAGTCATACTCGTACAGTCTAACGTCACACGATCACGAGTCCGGAAGGACGACACCTGTTTGTTTTTATTTTATTTTTGTAATGTAATTAATGCCTGCCCGCACAGTCAGGGATCGCTGGCTGGAGGGCAGTACCAGTACCAGTACGGCTCGTACAGCTAACAGTCTCTATCCAACTCTTGCTATGTTCTATGTTACCACGCTACGATCGATGGGCGCCGTCGCCTGTGACGGGCGCCAGCTCAAGACTATATAGCTCTATATTACGATTAAATAAACCCTTTATTCGGATTGCTGAAACCTGAACAATAAAATAAGTTTTTCGAATATATTCAAGCGTTTTTAATTGGTGGAATTATTGAGTTTTGAACCCACATATATCGTAAGCTTAACCTATAGTTAAGTTTTTATTTTGTCCTCCAGTTTTATTTATTTAATATTTAAATATATGAGTTTCCTGCATGGTTAATAATTAAATTATAAAATATTTAAGAAGGTTATCCGCTGAAGTTTAAAGAAAATTTACAATCCTTTTAAGTAACTACGTAATCATTAATTGTTATATACAATTTTAAACATGAACTTTGAAGTTAAGTTTTAAACCTACAAATATCGTAAGGTGAACTTCTAGTTAAGTTTTTAATTTGACTTTCAGTTTTATTTATTTAATTTTTAAAAATATAAGAGTTTCCTGCCTGGTTACAAATTAAATTATAACACTTTTAAGAAAGTTATCACTTGAAGTTTACATAAATTTAACCACACGATTCAATTTTAATCATAATTTTAAAATTTAATTCCAATTCTAAAGCTTCCCCTTTTCACTTCACTTGCATTGCTGAAACGCATAACAATAAAATAAGTTTTTGTCAGCTGGGAAGCGGGAGAAATTGTGGCATTTATTTTGATTTCTATAAACCTCAACAATAAAATACATATTTAAAGTATTTCCAACCATTTTCCTTTCCGTTTTTTCTTCCGACAACAGGGAAATGGGAGCATATCATGTCCGGGAGATCTGGTGCTCTTGTTAGCCACACACGTCTTTGGGTAGTTTTCATGCAACTCGGTTTTTACGACTATGCTAAGGAGTTTGTTGCTCAAAGGCAATAAAACGTTGAAGGTGCAGGTTAAGACCATAAACATTGACATTCACTTTTAATCTCTGCTGGTTAACACAATAATGAGGATGTAAAACGGGTGACGTTTTTCGTTGCTAATTATATTTACATTTAACAAGGACTAGAGAAAATATTTTCGTAAAAGGAAACTAGAAACAAACGGTATTTCCAGGTTTTAAATTTTAACTTCTGGTTAAGTATTGAGATTATGTTTCTTTTAAAATAATAAGAACACTAGCTGGGAATAAATTTATAGGTAAAAAAACAAAAAAATCGCAAATAAAATGTCTAAGTTATGAATTTTATCCTTAGGGTTTTTAATTTTTCTTATAATAACTTTACTTAAAAACGTATTTATTAAACAATAAATTCAAACAATTAAAACTAATTATGTAATTCTGGTTATTTCTAGTTAATATATTCTTAAAAAAATAAATTGCTTTACTTAATGCTGTTCTTCGAATTCTGAAACTATTTCTCAAGCTAATTTTCCTTTTCACTGGTTCTATACAGAACCCTTAAATTAGAATCCATTAAAATGCCCCTGTCAGAGCATAACCACTTCGGATTTATTGCCTTCGCCTTGCAATTTCTAGTTACTTCGCTGCGATCTTCAGATTTTCATGGTCAATGCGTTTTTTAATATCTCTTTCTTTTCCACTCAAAGCCTCGCAGCACGAATTCGCCTGAGCAATTAATTTATTTGTCTGCAGTCGGCCGTTTTGCTTTCGCAGCCAAACTCTATCAAACTTTCTAATTAAGCTGTTGCACTTGCGCTCCGGCGATATAATCGCTGCTTTTTAGGCGCCGCCAGCGCCCGGCTGCACTCAGTCATCGCCACGATCCGCGATGTGGCAGAGGCCCGTGTCCACATTCACCCAGCGATAGGCAAGCCGAGCGGTCCCGATTCGGAGACCTCAAGATGTCCATGACGCCAGCCCCAAGACAACGACAAGGAAAAGGACAAGGACAAGGAGACAGGGACACCAGAAGTGAAACCCGGTCCAGGCTGGATCAAGGATCTAACAGCGGCGGGCGGCAGATAATGGGTCTGATCCTGGGTTGCACAATTGTGAGTCTATAATCTCTAAAATAACATAGCTTGATCCATCATTAACCCTTTAAACTACTTTAAAATCTAATAAATTATAAACAAAAACTCTCCTCTCTCACAAAACTATCCTCTCCTTGGCAGATGTCTCTCGTGGTAGTCAAGGTCGCCTCCGCAGCCACTCTATATCAGCAGCCACATCTGCTTCAGCAGCAGTCGCAGTCCGTTAACGACATTGAGTCCTCCGTCGAGGAGTCACCGGCCACCAAGGAGTCGGAGCAGTGGGAGCAGTCGGAGAGCGACAGTGATATCGAGAAGATGAGGGCCAAGTTGCAGCAGCTACAGCACGAGCAGCAGCAGCAGTATCTCCGCCAGCAGCAGCACCAGTTGCAGCTGCATCTCCAGCAGATGCAGGCGGTGCAGGGAGCTGGATCGACAGGTGGAGGAGGAGGAGGAGCTGCGGCAGCTGGAGCTGGTGCTGGTGGCGAAACCGCCTACTTATTGGAGCGTGCCGACAGCCAGCTCGCACCCATCTACGGGACGTGGCGCACGAAAGCGCGACGGCAGCCACACGCAACCGCGTCGCACGAACTGGACGACACCCATGTGTACGAGCGTCTGCCGAGGCGTTCGGCGACCATGACGCCTCTAAAGGGGCTGCTGCGTGATCAGATGCCCCGCCCGCCACGTCTCTCCACCCAGGAGATGTCCCAGTTGTCCCTGGGATCACCATCGCCACCGCCCACAACGGCTCTGCTGAGGCGTCAATATTCCGAGACGCCGGGAACCAGGGCTCTGCGAAGTCAGGCTCAGGCACAGACACAGGCACAGAACACACAGGAGGAGTTCAAGCCCAAGCCCTTCCACTTCCCCTACGATGGCCCCCTGCCCGAGCAGTTCACCAAGGGCGAGGCTGTGCGTCCCGAGCTGAACAACATCCAGGACATCCTGCAACACTTGCACATTGGAGGAGGTCTAGGGCCGAGCAAGCTCCCGCCAATGGTGATGATGCCCACGGGCCTGCACATTGCCGGCACCTTCAAGAACCTCAAGTCGAGCGGCATCGGGAACTTCTTCCGCGGCAAGCGGCACAAGAAGCAGATGCAGTTCAGCATCCCGATGGGTCACCTGCCCCTGATGCCCATGGCCATGCCTATGCCCATGTCCATGCAGTGGTATGCTCCCGCGAGCCACCAGCGAGTGGCCATCGACCAGCTGTATCCCTACAAGCCCCGGTCACCGCAGGACGTCAATCTCCTGGCGATGCAGCCAGTAGTGGGCAATGGGAAACCTCTCTCCAAGAACAAGAAAAAGAAGCAGCAGCAGCTGCAACAGCAGTTGTTGGAACACGGCAGCCAGCAACACTTCGTGGCCGATCCTTTTCTGCAGCACTTTGCCCTGAACGCCACCCGGCAGCCGCAACACAAGAGGGTTCCCTTTAAGGTCAACCTGGACATATATCCCGTGCTTCCGCCCTCGCGTCCCGCCTCGGTGCTGCGCCATCCTTTTCAGCAGGAGTATGCTCTGCCCTCGGCAGCTGCCTTGACGGGCACCACGGCGGCGGCCTTCCAGATGGGTCACGGCCAGCATCCTGGCCTCTATCAGCAGACGCCCTTCAAGTTCCCCACGCAGCAGTCCGCCCCAATGGTGTTCCCTGACCAGGCCACCAGGTTCAGCCAGCAGCAGGCCTTGTACCAGCACAAGTTTCCGCCGCCGCTTCCTGACGATAGCATCTACGGACAAGGACAGGGCCATGGTCCGGTGGAGAGCCAAACGAATCCCATCATGCTTCACTTGAACGTGTTTCCCAAGCAGAAGCCAACGGCCACGATTCGTGCCTCCACGAATCCCTTCTACAACCACAACATGCAAAGGAACGCAGTAAACTCGAATGAGCTTCCGCCTCCCAATCCGCCAAGTCCCATTGAGCCAAGACATGCAGTGGGTGGCAACGTCAGTCAGTCCCAGCAACAGCAGTCACATCAAACATCTGTGAATCAAACCCAGCAGCAGCAGAATCAGCTTCCAGCGACCACCAATCGCCCCAGTTCCATTTCCCGCAGCGACCACGTGCCACTTATCGACTTCGAGCATCCAATTGTGGCGGCCGAGCTGCCGGATCGGTCCTCCCTCTCGGGATTCCGGCAGGATCATCACCAACGTTACAGGAAGACGCCCGTCGACGAGCACTATCGCTACGGGAAGAGCGCCAACATCGAGCAGCTGGCGGCAGAGGCCCAGACCGCCTCGCTCTTTCGCTTTCCCGTCGAGGATCTGATACAGTTCCAGGTGGACGATGCCCTCTAACTAACTATAGTTGTACTTAGACTTATGTAGTTAGTGTAGCAATATTACTCCATGACGTCTTCACCTTCCTCTAGCAATTGGTTGGAAGTTTAATGAAAATTAGGTACATTAAATGTCATACATAAATACGTATTTCAAAAATAAACAGAGGTCTTATTCGTTAAAGTTTACTAAACTAATTAAATATATTAAATTTCTTTTAACTAGAAAAATTAATCAAATTTTTGTTTTTCAACATCTACCTAAAGTAGCCTATGCTTTACAATGAAAATACTTTTTTCCAGGCGCCCAAAAGCCTGCTTTCCGTTGGCTTTCGAACCATTTTCATTGCCAATCTCATTGCGCGTGCGCAAAAACAGAACCGGCATCGGCACGAAACCAGTATTCCAACCGAGCTGCTCTCCGGCCGAGAGCGCCCACCGAGGCTAAGCCACAAGAACGGGCGGCGGCAACAGGTAAGTCCGGCCAGAAGGTAAGCGAGCGTCGCTCCGTCCAGACGTTGTCGCGCTTTAAACTCGCTGTGAGCCGCACCGGCCATATCCGTGAGATACAAGATACAAGAGCAAGATCAAGTTTCGGTCACTCGGCGTCATCCGTTTTGCGGTCCCGTGTGTGTTGTTGTGGTGTGTTTTTTGCGTGCGTTGTTGGCCAAAAAGCGAGTCCCACCGAAATACCCGTTTAAAGTGAAATAGTCTCGGCTTAAATGGGCATTCCGCAGCAGTGTTAATTATTATTTTCGCCACTGCAACCCTTGGGTTTCCTGAAAATTTCGCATTTCCTTGTTGCCGTTCTCTACCTACATTTTCCGCCTGTCTCTCTCTCTCAGTCTTTCCTTTTCTTTTTTGGCCAAAACAAGAACTCATAGATACAGCGAGCGAGATATACCTGTGAACCAGTCTGTTTTGTGACTTTATTTGTTTTAGTCTCTGTCGCCTAGTGTCTGTGTGTCTGTTTGTCCGTGTGTATATGCGAAAAGAAAGCCATCATCACACCGGATCGCATCGCATCGCAACATTTGCCAATCGCCAAGAAGTGCCCAATGATCGGAACTGGCGGCCAGCAGCAGCCGCCTCATCATCATGTGCCACTTTTCGCATGTGCATAAAGTGAAATCTCCATTCCACCGCTCCCGCAGCGACTGAATTTCTTTTGTTTCCCCCTTGTTTCTCCCTTTTTCGCGGCCCATCATTAGTGGAATGTGATCGAGTGCTGGCAAAAGTTCAAACGCCAAGGCTAAAGCAAAGCTATTTCGCAGACTCAGCTAAAATCAGCTGAAATCTCAGGCATTCTCGCTCGAAGACAAGGCCAACTGGGGGCGGCGGTTGCGGTGCAGCTATAGCTGTGTTAGCATTGAAAAATCATTGTTTCTGGCCAAATAAATGAGCCCAGTTTGTTTTGCATTTCTGCCAGTCCAAGAACGTGAACGAGCGAATAAAATAAATAATATCAAAGTTAAGACGAAGCCAAGTTTAAAGAAAAACTAAAGTAAAACTGTGTCGACGTTCTACATGTGCTAAATACTAGAGTAAACACCATCGAAAACTCGGACCTAACGGATACGGATAGCTAACGGCTCTGCAATTAGCCACGGCAACATGTTGCCGCCATGGATGTGGCTGTTGCCGCTGCTGTCGGCCAACTTAGCCGCCGGCCAGCTGCTGAATCATCCGCCGCAGTTTGTCCCGGGCACGGGCGACATGTCCCGGTTCAGTCTCTCGGAGAACACGCCCGTGGGGAGTCCAGTTTATCAGCTGAAAGGTGAGTTTCCATAAAGTAAAAGAGGGGAACATTTAAGGCTAATTTTCCTTTGATAGTTACTAGAATATTTATTTGTTTATTTTAGTCCAACTTTAATACCCTAGAAAGAAATATAAATCCCAATTAAATCCCTATTTCTTATAAGTAATTAATACTCTTTTGATACCTAAAACCTGTCACATTGGATATGGTTACACTCTTATTCTTGATTGTTACTACCAGTAGCTGGTGCTCCAGAAGTTCCACAGGTGTTGGCGGGGGAGTTCTACATAGCTGGCTGACATTGCATGCTCGACATTTTATCAACATGTGTAGTACCGGGAGTACGGGAGTACGGGGCCATCACGTTTCATAATTTTATGCGGAATTGCTTCACGGCTTTCATTGCAGCAGCGAGACAATGTACACAAATAGCCCAATTCCCACGCAGTTTGTGCCAATGCCTTTCACTCGCAACAGTTTGTTTTGTTTTAGCCCGAAAAAAAAGATGGCTCAGAGCCAGAGGGGGCTGTGGGAAGATCAGCTGATTAATGCCTATCAGGGGAGCTATTAATTATCTGATTTACTCTATACTTAACTAGGCCAAAGAACTTTTATCTTCAACACCTAAAAGTTTATTTTTCGCAGCAAAAAGATAAGTTGTACCCAGAGTTTAGGTAAATTTGTCCGAAAATAAATAAAAGATAAACTAAAATCTTGAGTAAGTCACGATCTTGGGTTAATTATCAAATAACCCATTAAATTGTTTATCTCTTTGTCGAACGTTTGTGCAAAAAATTGTTTAGAGTTTGGTAACAAAGTTTAAATAATAATGGGAGCTAGATTATATTATATTATTATCTGTTGAAATACTATCAATATTGAAACACTGGGAAGGCCCTGTGTTATTTTGTTGCAACTTAGATGGTTATTATTTAAAGCTTTATTATAAACTAAAGCAAAGACTGGTAGTCAATCAGTACACAGCTTAAATTATATTTTATTTATTGCAAGTAAATATTTTTAAAAAATGTTCTTTAAAGTTTAAAATAGATTAAAAGATTATAATATTATCATATACACTATCTCTATATTTACCAAAGACAATAGAGTATCCCCACTTCGATTTGAGCTTCAAACTTCACCCCAAAACGGGCTTCAATAATTTTGTAATTTGGCTTTTGAACATACCTCAAATTACCAATGCTGACTTTCATTTCTTGGCCAGCTCTTTGGCTTTGGGTGGGCCACCTACTTCGGGTCAACCTTGTGGCCGGGTATTGGATTTTTGCGGCTGCCGCGCACGTTTCCAGCACCCTCGTATCTCACACTCGCCAGATACAGATACACGCAGATGCAGATTGCATAATGCTGTAAAATATGCACTGCGGATCCACAAGAATTCGCGATAAACCTCAGAGGAAAAAACACAAGATATTCATATATATTTACTCTTATATATTTTTTCTCTCAGTTTCTGTTTCTGGTTTGCAGTTTTTTGGAGTTAGCTCGCCCAAGAATGCAGTTTGCTAATCACTTAACAAACAAAAACAAACAAAGGCAGGCGGAGATACATATGTATCTGATAGGCGGGCAGGCGGAAATGCATTTGAACACGTTTGTGCGTAGCACCAGCGATAAGTGTTAGTCCCCCCGATAATGGCGATGGCCGGCATGGTAATGGTGATGGTAATGGCTTCCATTAGATGGCCCCCACTTTTGCTCGAGAATGGCAAGTGCACTTTTACTCGGAACGAGAGTGGCAATCAATCGAAAGTTCGTTTGGACAATCTTGTAAAAAGCATTCTCCTTTGAAGAACCAAGTTTAAAGTTGGTGTTGAGATTAAGTTCAATTAAATTGATATATAAATTAGACCTGGTCTCTAAATCTTAATCAAATAGTAAAACAAACGAATTTATATTCAATTTTCCCATATAAATCTCATAGATATCTCGTTATAAACTCCTCAATTTATCAAATAAATATCTATTACAAACTCCCCTTCAATTCTTAATAAACTTAAGGCGGCACTCAGACACTCCCCCTAAAACTATGATTTAACCAAGTCCCACTTGCACCTGCCTCTCAGCCAGTTGACACCCTAACACAGATACGGATACAGAGATACAGTGGTATATATAAACCAGATATATGTGCAGTTGCTATTCGAGTTCGTAGACATCGAGAGGTCTGCCTGCAATTCGATGCCGCGCCACGGCAACTTCATAATCAGATGGCGCATTGTCTCAACTGGTTGCCGAGCGTGTGCCAAATCGCCTTGGATGATGCTCGCAGCTCGCCCAGTGACTCCGCCTGGCCGGGTTATGGCTTTGGTATTGTATCTGCATCCGAATCTGTAACTGATATATAGGCGAAGACAGAGACTGGGCGGGCTCATACCAGGTTGGCTTTGGTTTTGCAAGCGGCATCCGTGAGATACGAAACACGTTTGCTTTGGTGCGTTTGAAATCAAGAGTGCCTTGGAAAAGCCAAGTGGTAAATGAAAAAACTGACCAGGCCAGGCCAGGAGGAAATTGGTCTCTGCCTAAACGGGGGTCCAGGATAGAGGTTTACGCCGATGGTTAAAGGCATCGGCGGCGGCGTAGAGGTCAAAATGACTCGGCGGCGGCGGCGTAGTAGTCAGAAAGAACCGGCGGCGGCGGCGCGTCAAATAAGGCAAAAAGGCCATTTTAATGAGTTATTTTTTTTTTTTTAAGTTTTATAAAGAACAATGACACTGAAGGCCGCGCTGAAGCTGCGCCGATGCCGCACCAGCGGCGCGCCGCGGCGCGCCGTTATTTTCATAATTTGGCGGCGGCGCGTCAAATAAGGCAAAAATCGGCGGCGGCGGCGGCGTGGCGCGGCGGCGTATATGTCTAGTCCAGGAAGCCAAAGCCATAACGGGCACAACAAAATCCGAGACTGCAACTCAAGTCCGAGTGCCAATCGCTGTTGCATAACTCCAGTGGCGTCCCCTGGGATTCAGCCTTCTCTGGGTGTCGAAAATTGAGGATTTAATTGCATGGAATTTGGCGGGGAAACTCCTATCACTTTACCATATAGACATTCCCATTTAACTGCGGCTCTTTGAAAGTCGAAAAATAAACCAACAATTGTTGCCACATGGCGGGCGTTTCTCTCGCTTCGTTTGGGATTAACCACTGTTCCATGTGTAATAATAACCAAAATATTAACAAATACGCTCTGCCAAGCATGAAATCACAAATTATTTCTCCCGCATCAACAGCAACAGCGGCAGAAACCACAACAATTACGGGTCACATCCTCCCTTGTGCTGGGCAAAGTGAAAAGTGTAGGAAAGCTTTTCCACAGCTAGCACGTACACGCAATTACAGTGTTCATTCAGCTTTTCCACTTTTCCCCCAAAAAACCACACTCATATGTACATTGAACACACCATCTCGGATCGAACACGAGAATTCATAAAGAGAAAACAAGCGAGAATCGGTGGAAGTGGTAGGGTTGGTTCTTCAGATACCCTGCACTTAAAGGGGTCTAAAAAATGGAGAAGGGAGACTTTATAAAAAAATGTATTATCATAATTATAGAGAAAAACAAGACAAAATATATTTTTCATGAATCTGAATAAAAAATCTACTTGATAAACCTTTAGAGGATTTAGAAATATCTGATTTACAAGTTGCTAAGATTATATTTGTTTTTCCTATTTATATTTAAAGAATTAACAATTATGTTATGAAATTTACTTCGGGAAATGAATTAAAATGTACAGTTAATATAACATACATACATATAGCCCAATATACCCCACATGCAACAAGAATGCATAAGCAAAACCGAAAAAAAAATGATTATGTACATTGAAAAGTTAAAATGGTCACTCACGCGCCAAACCAAAGGGGAATGGGAATAGGTTCGGGTTTGGAATAGAGCAATAACCGGGGGGTTCCCGGGGGAGGTATTATCCGAATGTTTGGGTTAGCTGTAGGAGCCGTAGCTAGAGCTAGAGGAGCGGCTTTACCCGCTTCTTGCTTCCCGCTTTGAGCCATGTTTTGTTTGTGGCAGTCGTGCTGCAATTGTCGGTGTACCGCAGACCCGTTGCTGCCACAAACTTGAAAAATCTGGCTGGCAAAAGCAGTTTCCCGACCACCGCTTATTGGTCTATGTTTTCTTTTGTTGGCCCTTCTCGGCTTCATTTGTTTTCTTTCTTCTCTCCACAATAATGATTCGGTAGAATTTCTAAAACAATTTCCAGTTGCCCCCAAGCCGGAATTTTTTCGGCTGCCCGAGTCAAATACTTGTAGATATATTTCCTGTTATTAGCAGGGAAAGAGAAAATGCTGCGGGAGTGACACAATCCACTTAGGGTTGGACCCCAACTATCTAACTAGTTGCTCTACTTCAGTTAGTTCAGAGGGGCCCGGGGAGCCGCAGTCGACTGGAAAAGTTGTGGGAACCAAATTAGCATTTTTCACACGCTTTTACATAAACCACATGAGACACAGGCGGCGATGCCGGAGGTGGTGGCAGTGGCGGCGGTGGCTTTGGACTACTGAACGACTTCCACGAAGTGACAGCCTATGACGCTGTCTCGGATTACCCGTAATTAAAGCAGTGAGCGTGTCAAACACCGGGACACACCGATCTGGCCGACAGGGCAACAAACCGGCAAGCCTACAAACCGTCGCTAACTAATTTGTTACACTTTTTCCGGCCAGCAAACACACGAGATCTCTGCTTACACGTATAGATAAATAGGGTCAAAATAATATGTGTTTAAAAGCTAACTAAATAAAGTCCTTGATAGTGGTAATTAATAGAGTGGGTTAACAATTTTTTAAAATATTTTAATTACTTTATTTATTATTATTACCTTTTCAAATAATTATTTCTTCTTACACCTTCAGGCAACGATCCAGAAGGCGGACGCCTGAAGTACAGCATCAGTGGACCTGTGTTTTCGGTGGACAGGGAGACGGGAGTGGTGCGCCTGCGCCAGGAGCTGGATCGCGAGAGCCAGGACACTGTGGAGGTAATCATTAGCATCACCGACGAGGGCATCTACGGCACCGAACCCAACACCGTGTCCCAGCGAAGAGAGATTCCCGTGCGAGATTACAATGACAACCAGCCTACGTTCCTAGGAAGACCCTACACCGCCAGTGTCAGTGAATCCCTGCCCGTGGGAGCCGAGCTGAATGTCGAGCCACCAATCGTGGTTGTCGATCGGGATGAGGGCATCAATGCCGAGGTCCAGATTAAGTGCGTCGAGGTGGGTACTAAACAACAAAACAATTATTTCTTCAGATACTACAATTTCATCCTTATACCCATCTCTCTTCCAGGAGAACGATATCTGCGACATCTTCGAGGTGCGTGCTGTAAAAATCTCCGATGGCAACTACACCGCCAGAGTGGCTCTGAAGCAACCTTTGGATTTCGAGAGTCGTCCCTCGTATATTATGACCATCTCGGCTGCGGACAGCGCCTTGGACAACCGCCTATCCTCACTGGCCACAATATCTATCAACGTGATTGACATCCAGGATCAGCCGCCGGTCTTCACCAATGCCCCATACTCCGCCACTGTGCCAGAAAACACGCCCGCCGGGGTGAGCATTTTGACGGTCAAGGCCATGGACGGGGATGTAGGCATTCCGAGGGATATATTCCTCTCCCTGGAGGACGAACCCTTTGGGCACTTCGAACTGGTCCCCTTCGGAGATCCTCGGGACGGAACTGCAGTGCTGCAGACCACCTCGGAACCTCTGGATCGTGAGAACGCTGAGATCCTGCAGAATGGCGGCGTTTACGTGTTCTCCATTAGAGCCACCGAACTGATCGATGGAGCTATTCCCGCTGAGTATTCGCTCACCCGGGTGACCATCGTGGTGACAGATGTGGACGACCACCAACCCACATTCAGCGGCGCTCACTTCAATGTTTCCATTACGGAAAACCTGGCCAATGGGATGCCGCTGCCGGGACTCTCCATCTTTGTGGATGATCGCGACATGGGCGACAACAGTCGCTATCAACTGTCCTTGAGGGATGTGGCCAATGCCGCCGGTGTCTTTGCTGTATCACCCACTGAAGCTCTAGGCAGGACACCAGTTGTGGTCAAAGTCCTGAATGCCAGTCGCTTGGACTACGACGTGCCAGATCCCGCGCTCCGGAAGTTTGAGTTCGATCTAGTGGCTTCGGTTAAGGGAGTGGAGATGGCCAAGTGCCGGGTGGAAATTCATCTACTGGATGCAAATGATAATGCCCCAGTGTTTGAACAAGGCACCTATCGCTTTACTGCAGCCGAGAATCTCCCCGTGGATGCCTTGATAGGTCATGTGAGAGCCAGCGATGCGGATTCCGGAGAGTTTGGACATGTTCGCTATGTTCTAAAGGGATTTGGAGCAGATAACTTCTATGTAGACCCTGAGACGGGAGGTCTTTACCTTTTGAAGCCCTTGGACTACGAAAAACAGAGCAGCTATAGCCTCACTGTGGTAGCCATCGATGGTGGCCAAAGAGAGTCCAATGCCAATCTCTTCATCGGAGTCACTGATGTAAACGACAACCACCCCAGCTTCGAGAGCCGAGAGTACAGCCGCACCATCCGCGAGGGAGCCGCCATTTTCGAGCCGCAGTTCTTCGTCCGCGCTCACGATGCCGACGGGCCCACCCAGGGAAATGGCAGGGTCAAGTACTCCATTGTGTCCGAGAACAGCATAGCGGGAAATGTGTTCCGCATCGAGCCGGATACAGGAGAGATTGTCATCCAGAAGGCCGCTCGATCCATGGACACTGAACGCGGGGAGTATGAGCTGGTGGTCTCTGCCACAGATTTTGGTGAGTTAAGAACAATGTCTTGAAGGAATACATCTAACAATGTCCCTCGTCATTTAGGAATTCCTCCTCTGTCGAACACCACACGCGTCCTGGTTCGCGTTGGCATCTCTGGCAACCAGAGACCCATATTCCGGGGACACTTCCAAAACATGGAAAACTTGCCCATAATTGGTCCTCCAAGCTACAGGGTTTCCATACCAGAAAATGCCGTTGCCGGATCGAATGTTACCTCAGTGTCTGCCCACGATCCAGATGGTTTGGACAGCCTGCTACGTTATAGGATTGTGGGAGCAAATGATAACTTTGAGATTGATGAACTGTGAGTATGGTTTCTCAATGAAGGATGTCCTTACTTACATTATTTTGCTTCCCCACAGCTCCGGCTTGATTACAGTGTCACCCCAAGCCCGCATCGATCGGGATTCTAACATGAACAGTTTCGAGATCATCGTTAATGCGGTGGATTCTGGGATCCCAATTCCAGAGACGGCCACCACTACGGTCTACGTAAATGTAAAGGACATCAACGATGAGCGTCCCAAGTTTGAGCAGGCCAGCTATGCAGCCTACGTCTCCGAAAGGACAGCTGTGGGTGAGAGCGTGCTCCGAGTCAAGGCCATCGACAAGGACCTAAACTCTAGACTAGAGTACGGACTGGTTGGTCCCGTGACAGCCACCACCAAGGCGGGAGTGAACATTGCCAACCGCAGCAACTACCGCCTGCAGGAGGCTTTCCGGGTCGACAGTCAAACTGGAGAGATCTTCGTCAATGGCACCCTCCGTCACGATGTGGCCGCCATCATTATCTTCACCGTGGGAGTGAGGGATCTTAATGCAGAGGTGGATCCCGAAGGGCAGGTGGATACCACCGAGGTGACCGTTTATGTGCAATCCTTCCAGGACACCAATCCCGTGTTCAAGAACTCAGGCTGGAGCAGCTCTCGACCCGTAATCGATGTGAAAATCAAGGAGGAAATGCCCATCGATAGCGCCCTGTTCATTCTCCAGGCTGAGGATCCCGTGACCCGGCAACCCATCACCTCCTTTGAGCTGGTGGAGCCCAAGCAAGTGGAGTACTTCCAGGTAGCAGAGCGCACGGGCGAGGTGATCCTCAAGAAGCGGCTGGACTACGAAGCTCTGGGCGAGAGCGGTCCCGACTTTGAACTCCAGGTGCGGGCCAATAGCGCCGATCGTCAACGTAGTACTGTCAGCCGGGTCAACATCACCGTGGAGAATGTGAATGATAACAGTCCGCGCTTCGAGCAGAGCTCTTATAGAGCCACCATCATTGAGAATCGGCCTCATCCGGAGCGAGTGATCCGGGTGAGAGCGTTGGACAAGGACGCTGTGCTCAACGCGCGGGACGAGCGCTTGGGCTACCACAAGATCATCTACTCGTTGCAGGGCGAGCACGCCATGCTCTTCGATATCAACAATGCCACCGGGGAGGTAACTGTGGCCAGCGGGCAAATAATCGATCGGGAGCGAACCCCAAGGATTCAGCTCCAGATCAAGGCGGAGGACTCGCCCGGCAGGCCCACAGATGCCAAGCAGAGTGTCGTGGATCTGCTGATTGAGGTGCTGGACGTCAACGACAATGCACCGGAGTTTACGCAGAAGAAGTACAGTACGGTGATCCCGGAGAACGCCCAGGTCGAATCGTTCGTCCTTCAGCTGGAGGCTCTGGACGCTGACGAGGGACTCGGAGGAGAGGTGCACTACGAGCTGGTGAACGAGGGCGAGGCCAACGGACTCTTTAAGATCGATCCCAAGAGCGGTCTGATATCCACACGTCGTAATCTCACTGGCAAGGGTCGCTCCGAGCCGTACGTTTTGATTGTGCGCGCCCAGGACAACGGAAACCAGTTGCCCAAGCAGCCGACCCTCTCCACAGACACAGATGTTAAGATCTTTATTGGCGATGTCAGTGCCAACGACGGCGTGCCCTACTTTGTGGCTCCCCGCGTGGGCCAAATGGCGAATGTCACGGAGGTGGGCAAGCTTTTGATTGTGAATATATTCCCTTAAGTAACATGATCCTTGCCTTTTCAGAATGCTGTCATTGGAGCTCCAGTGTTCCAAGTGATTGCCAGCGATCCCGATGACGAGAACACTCCCTCCGGAACCATAACCTACCGAATTTTACCGGATACACCGGACGCGGAAGCCTTCGCCATAGACGCCCACTCGGGACTAATAACTACCAGGGAATCGTTGGATCGTGAAAGCAAAAACATGTACAAGATCCTGCTGGAAGTCAGTGACAATGGACAGCCCAAGCAGTCCGTAACGCGAATCCTGCAGATAGCAGTTCTGGATGTGGACGATCACGAACCACGATTCGCCAGGGAAGTTGTAAGTACAACAAGAATATTTCTTGCTCATGCTTTCTAAAATAATATTTTTAAATATTCTCAAAAGGATGAAGGACCACTGACCATGTCCGTCAAAGAAGAGGAACCCGCAGGGTCTGTTGTGGGTAACTTCACCGCCGTGGACGAGGATCTTGGCGAGAATGCGGCCATTGATTATGTGATAATCGAGGGAAATAACGAGCAGCTGTTCACCATCGAGCGGAACAACGAGAGCATGGCCATTCTCAAGACCCAAAAGCCTATCGATCGGGAGCAGGTTGAATCCTTCACGCTGACAGTCAAGTGCCTGAAACTGGGCGAACCTGGCTTCAAGTTTATTGGAGATCCCTACGATCGCCGGGACGCCTCACATCTGCGCATAGCCATCCGAGTGCTGGACATCGACGACAACCTGCCGCAGTTTGAGCAACCAGATCCCACGGTGGGCATAAGGATAAACGTGCCCATCGATACCGTGGTGACCACTCTGCGGGCCAGCGATGCGGATGCCGAGGCTCCGCCCATCGGGGTCTCCATTGAAAACGTAACCTTTGTGCCGCAGTTCTATAAGCGGAGCCGCAGTCTGGCCGTGGGAAATCTACAGAACCTATTCACCCTGAACAATCGAACCGGGGAGTTGCGCACTGGAGGCTCCTTTGCCGACTACGTAGATGGGTATTTCCTGATGCGGCTGATGGCCAACAATTCCGCAGAACCGAAACGCCAGGCCCACAGCAACCTCAAGGTGTTTGTGATCCGGGACAAGTCTCTGTTGAAGTTTGTGTTCGCCCGCCCGCCCAACGAGATCCAGCACAACATCCGGCTGTTCCAGGAGCAGCTGCAAAAGAAACTACGTCCTTTGGGTCTGGAACTGCACGTCTTGGACACTCAGGTGCTCACGCGACCCGACATGAGTCTGGACTTCACCGCCACCAGCTCCTGCTTCCAGATGTTCAAGAATGGCGCTGCCCTCTCTTTCAACGAGATGCAGAAGCTGATGAACTCGCAGCAGCTGCGCCAGGAGCTCATCGACACGTATGCCGCCTACGGAGTAAGCGAGGTAGAGTCCTGCTCTGTGCGGAGAACCCACACGGCGGCGCTCTTTGCCGGCATGCTCACCTCGGCGGGTGCATGGCTGGTCTTCCTGGCAGCCCTCATAGGCCTAGCTGCCTTGGTATCCTTGTGCACCGCCTGCTGCCTGAAGAAGAAGTGAGCATATCTAAAAGGATATTAAGGATGCATTGTTATAAATTTCAATATTTTCCAGGCTGAAGCGGCACAGCAAGCGAAGCCAGCAGGCAAGTTTGCGTACCCCCACGGAGCACACGCCCACCTCGTACAGCTACTCGATGCCCGCCGTGCTCTACTCGGAGCCCATCTACGGGCCATTGTAGCCGCAGCTCATCTTCTGCACGGGGCGGTCCAGGTTTAACCACTGACCACGTAGACGTAGATGTAGACGTAGACTAGTAGTGCCCAAGACTCGAGCCCACTTTGCACCAGCGGAGATCCTGCACAATCCCCAGCCTGGAAGGGATCTCCGCTCGGCCGCTGCGAACCGGGACCTTGCAGAGATTGGTAGTCCGTGGAATGCCAAATCAGTCCATATAAGCTTAAGCATACTATGCGCGTGATCTAGTATGTACGTGTAGACCCATTTAGAGTTAGCCTAGGTTAGTCTGTATAAAACATAGCGATTATCCAATTGAGGAGCGTAGCCTAAGTCGAGTCAGTTCTCTGTGTCATCTGCGCCAAAGTGCTGGCTGAAGTCCTCTCGCTGACTCTGCCCCTTGGCCGGTCTGGAATGCATTTATTTTTACCTGTATTTATCTTATCGTCTATTTGCCAAACACATGTCGAACAAGTGCAGAATAAATATGTCGCTCCAAACGCAGCCCAATTCCGGCTCCGCAACCCAATCCAAAATCCTATCCTATCCTCGGCCAGGAGTCAAAGTCAGGCCCCATGTGCGTGTCGCCCGAAAATGAGTGTCCCGTTTTCAAACAGAATGCATATGGTTTTGCCGTTAAGTAAATATATTTATATATATACCTTCGACTAAGTAGTGTGTCCAATGTGAACATGTGTGCAAATAAATTCTATTAACTATCAACTACGTAAAAATGTGGAAATAAAACGCCAGCACTTACTCACTGAAGTGATATGCAAATGAATCGTGGGCACCCGTTAATGTTCTGAAATTTAGGAAGGTATGGGCATTGAATGTGGATCTTATGGGTTAAACCTGATATTTATGGGAGTTTTTCTGGCAGAAAATTGTTGGTTTTTCGTTGGCGGCGGCATTGAAGTAGTGCCAATTATTTGCATTAAATTAAGAACTCTTTTGTTGCAGGGTTATATCATATCTAAAGTTTATACAGGTAAAAATTCTGAAAAGAGACTATTGTTAATCCAAAACTTAGTTTAATATTTTCTACTTTTTACAATAATAATGAGTCCTTGTTACCAACCAACTTCCTAAATTTTTTAGTAACTCTTGAAGAAAAAATTACGCACTTAATATTATAGCATTTCTTTATTTCCCTGTCTCAATTTCAGGATAAGGGGTTATCATATCTCTTCTATATAAACCCTAAAAAACATCTTTAGCCATTATCCGTTTGCCCATTTCAATTCCTCTTAAGTACCAGCCGATCCTTACTCAAGTTGTTAACGAGCTCCGCTCCGGATTCGAAATTCCAATTAAACTTGCCATGCTTAAAGTAATTGCAAATTCCCATTTTAAAATCGTTTCGAGAACTGCGCCACTATGCAGGCAAGTGCAAATGTAACGTCCAAAGCAAATATCCTGGCACTGGCAGGCTGCAGGATGCAGGCAGCAGGAGCAGGCGGGGGGTTGGAAAACCCATAAATAATAAATGTTGTTAAAACTAATGTGCGGCGCTCATTAGCCCCTGGCAACGAACGACCAAGGAAACAGGGGATGATGCTGGTCCTGCTCCGATCCCCTGATCCTGGCCGAAATCAAAGGGTGCATGATGAATTCGGGGGTTGCTGGTGCTCTCGTCCTCGCACAGCTCGACTTATTTTTATAACTTTTTAAAGCGAAACAACATCAACAACGCAAGACAGCGAATCAAGTGTTGTCCGGGTCAACTGAACCTTTCAGCCTTTGGGGGTTGCTCTTCTCCCCGGAGATGGAGTGTAATTAAACTTGTTTTCCTCATGATTTCGCCGTGTTTAAGGCGAAACTCTGAAATTAACATAAAGACCAACTAACCTGGATTGCACTGGCCTTGCACTTTCAGATTTTCTCTCCGCTAAATCACCATCCACTTGAACAGTGATTGATGGTCGGCAGCAGGGCCATCCTCATAAATCACACTCCAAATTCGAGTGACAAAGCGGCTTGATGGGAAAGCAGTCATGGCGCCAGCCATCGAGACCTCGTAAGTTCCAGTAATCGTCAATTAATGCCAGGGGGTAAAAGTTTATATTGTGGGCGCCAAGGGCTTAACTTACAGGGATCCGCAAGTGTGGACGGTTCTGGTTGTAAGTTACAACAAATATCATATAAAAATATGATAGATATTTTTACGATAAAGTAAAAATATTATCTCTATACCTAGTGAGTACAATTCTCTATCTATGCATTTATATTTCAAATATAAAATAAAGAAATGCTTGGTTTAATTAATTTATTAAATATTGTTATTAATTCATTTACATATTAATAACTGGAAGTTTCCCAGATCAACTTTTATAAATCATTTGTAGATATAATCGTTTAATTAATGCTATAAAACCATTACTTATGTTTTTATCTGCCTGATTTTTAATGTTTCTTTGGCACAAAATATATACATTATGAGAAAAACCCCTGTGCAGGTGTGCACAAGTCAAGTTTTTACCCCAGATTCAATTCAATGACAGCTAACGTGCTGTTTGGCGGGTGTCAAATAGTTAGCCAGATGTCCGACTGACAGAGCGACAAACAATGCCAACAATTAATGGCTGAGCCAGGACATTCCCTCATCCTGCTGCTCGGGTGCAACAAATAGTGAAAAGCCTTGCGTGCATACCAAAAAGTGAAAGGCGGGGCAGGCAAGTGAGAAAAGGAATCATAACGGTCGCTTGCCGAGGTGGCAGGACTATAAAAAAGGACTTAGGACACACCCCGGGTTGCGTAATTGCAGTTAACTTACTCGGCTTCCTATTTGGTAATTTTTGGGGTATTTTATGCCATATTTTTTGCAACGATTTTTTCGCAATATTTCCTCGCATTTTCCCCGAATTTTCATTTGTTTCTTGTTTGCGGAAACGCGCACAATGGTGGAATTACCGCAGGATTTTCGCGCGAATTTCCGGACTAAGCCGGAAGTGGAATTACCCGAGCACGTCGGCTTAGGATCAGGCGAAAGGATTTCTCCTCCATTTGTAGTGAAACCCCCATTAAATTGATCGTGCCGTGTCCGTTGTTTACATTTAACAATAACGGGGCATGAAACCGGTGTTTTGACGACATTTTAGTGCCAGCCTTCCGATTCAATTTATGCACAGCGAGCTGAAAAAAAAATTAACAAATATCAACCATAAATTAGAAATGTCAGCTTCATTATGCACATGGCGCTGCATAGTAATTAGGCAGCTTCGCGCGTCCTCGCAGCTCTCTCCAAACTACATAGAAATTTATGACCACTTGATGAACTGAATCCCCGTATCCGCATCCTTGCCTGGGGTTGCGAGGCTCTTCCATTTCGCCCTGGTTCTCCTGGTCCGCTGGCTGAGCTCATTTGCATAACAATCAACTCATCGTTTGTGGTACAGCTACCATATCTGCCCTTGCTCCTTGCCACAGGACCAAGGGTGCAGCTGATTCGATGCCTTCCTCGAAATGTTAATGTTTTTCGTACACTGGCAGCGGGTGTGAAGTTGTAAAGTTTAATGTATTGTTTGTCTAACAGTTTATTCATTTGAAAAAGGAATATATTAGAAATGGGTATTTTTCGAATGTGACTGGAATAAAAAACGGGCCGTCTATGGGGTTGGAAGGTAGCATTGTCCTTTAAATAACTTATTCTATAAATCTTTCTTCATAATCAGTCATGTGTATTGCAACTTATTTTCTCTCAAGATAATAAATCGGTAATTAAATGTCAGGGGAGTAAATAGTAATCACGATTTTGGGGTCAGGCTTGAGTAAATATCAAAACATTATGTTAACTTTAAGAAGCTATATAAGGAACCTTTTAGATTGAAATCGCTGTGTATTTGCTGAACATTATTTGAATATTTAACATTATTCATTTACTTCAAAAATCAATCCCACTCAATATCAATTGTAATCCATTTTGCTATAGTATTTTCCACATATGTCCTTTTACTTAAACAGTAGCATTTAGGGACCCATGAAATGTCCTTTAACTAGCCGTGCCTGTTCCTTTTTCCACTGCATTCACTCAATTTTCCGCAACCTCAATCAAATTTTCTGGTTTTATCGTTCGTGGGCATGACCATGATCTCAATTCGATTTGCCTAATAGAAGACCAGCCAAGGACCAGGATATAGTTATCTGATTCTTGATTTACATGTGTTAACATTTTCGTTTTTGTTTTCCCTCAGACGCGTACCACTTTCTGGCTCAACAATGTGACATAAATCTGCTTAAATTTGACTAAAACCGCTTTGATCGGATTAAAAATCAGAGCTCGCCCAACATTTTACAGTTTCAAGCCAGCGAATATAGAGGGTTACATACACATCCATTGCATCCGAATGCGACAGATTGCTGGCCTTCTCTGGAATAAATAGATCCTGGGTGCGGTACGAGCACTAAATGTAACAAAATACTCCAGCGGCTGTTTGTTTATCCAATGTTTTTCGGTTAGATGAGCACACAACTCGAAAGCGACAAAGGTAGGGCACACATGCGTTTTTTTGAACAGTAACGAATACGAATACGGGGTCGCACACCCCGAGACAACCGGGGAACTTCACAGATTTCACAGATAAACCAATTCGAGCAGGGCAATGAATGGGCGAAAAGGTCGTCCAAGTTGCCGCCAAAAAGCGAACGTGTATCTGCGGCACCAGGACGAATCGAATCTCCGCCGCGGATGTTTGATCAGGACCAAAAGGGGTAATAAAAAATATGGAAGCGAGGGTTCAAGTATTCGCACGTGCGCCAGCAAAGGGTTACTATAAAAAAAAATCTGCACCGACTTCTTGCTAAAAAGGCGTAAAACAATCAATTCAGCAAATAAAATTCGATTTGCGAAATGGGAATACCTAAAAAGGCCAAGGACAAATTGGCGCTGTGTTGTCCGGAACGGTGTGATATATGATCTTAATATTTCATGCCTGCCGACACTAGCAAGGGGTGAACTTAGATTTCGTTTTTCGAAAGCATATCGGATGTATTTGACCCAAAAACAAGCGGTATATAAATATAGAAATGTTGTAGTTTGGAAGTTGAAAATCACGATGATAACGTTTCAACTTTGAACTCTATAAGTTATACTATGTTATAAGTAGAATGTATAATACCACATAAAACAATTATATTATTATTAATATATTATTAATTTACTAGAAAATTCTTGATCGATTAAAATAAATCAAAATTTGACAATGTATGTATACGTCAAAATTCGCTGATATTTAAGGATTTCTTGTACACTTCGATTCGGCCATAAAATGCTAAATCTAATGGTAAGTTTCTTCCAATAGCTGTTAAGTTAATAGACTAATTGGCATAGAATCGTATATAAATAGGGACATATACCTATACAAAACCAATATCTGAAAGGAACAGCTTGAAAAATATTAAGCCACTTAAACTTGTACAGATAGGTATTCCGTCTGCATTTTAGGCTTAGTTAAATTCGACTTCAAATTTGGCTTCTGATCCAATTGCAAACTGCAAAGGTATTACAATTTTGGCGTCCCTGTCGCTTTCTTTCTTGTTTTCTTACCAATTCAGTTTGTAAATAAATCTTTAGCTCAGTAATCTTATAAGATATCCAATGACATTATTTATGTATTTGCAATATCCATTCCTTAAGAAATCCCCAAATGGACACTTGTGTTTCTATCGTTGTAGACTAATCCCCAAATATTAACGGAAAATTGATTCAGTTTGGATATCTGGAACTCGAACCCTCCATGACCAGGAGCAGCTCTCTTTGTGCAGTCTCATTGGACCGCACATCAATCGCTCTCCAAGGACCTGCACTTGCCGCACAGCCAAAGATGCCATTGTGTTTGCGCCTTTTAGCATGTCCATGGCAATTTGTTTCCATTTCGGTTTCCTTATCGCCTTATGGCCATCGCCAAATTGTTTTCCCTGCCACGCAGTGCATTAGCATTCCGGTGAATGGGAGTGGCAATGGAAAGGGAGCGGAGATGTCGTCATTGATCCGCCGATAGCCATCAAAGCGCAGCCACCATGTCCCAGAGCAGCGCACTGCTAATGATGCCGGGGTCCTTACTGGGTCTCAGCCTAGTCCTCATCCCTGCAAGAGTCCTGCAAATTGAATGCAGCTTAGCTGGCTCACCCGCTGCGTATTTGCGCCCATGCGGCCCAGAATAATGATTATTGTAAAGATAAATCCCGACACCTTCAACAAAGCTGCACAAATGACAAACGCCGGCTTAGCAGATGAAATTCTACTGAAATTCTATTCATAAAAGCGGAAAAATATAGTAGTGGGATTTTACTGTGACTCGAAACTCTTTTTAAGTCTAGAATATTTCGTGGTGCTTCCTTTTAAGCTTTTTTAAAAAAATGTATTATTAAAACATAAAAAACTTCTTATTTTTGAACTCAAATTGAAACAATATAGCCGTGAGTCTTTCCAAGTCTTTGATTCCGAATTCCACGTGGTAGTTCCAGCATCTTCGGCACCTTTTCACCCTTGCCTCGTAACGGAAAATGTCAGTCAGTCAGTTAGGCATTTCGAAGGTATAAAGCAGTTTCCCTCGACTCTTGCCGGTTCATTCAACTAAATAATTTGAGTGGCATTCATGCAGGTCCACTGGCCCACAGCTCGCAGCTCGCTGCTAACAGCTCATGTTTCAGGATTGCCGGTCCTGGCTCGCCGCCGTTGGTACATTCGTTCTGTAATTGTGTGGCAGGTGACGGGCAATCTTCCATTGTTCGGGCTCTGTGCTCCGTACTCCGTATTCCGGAGTTCAGTTTCTACTTGAACTCACCCCATGTCGAATCGTAAGGGCGCAAAATGCCCCCTACAATAAAAACAAGCTGCAGTGCACACACACACAAGGCCATTCGCTTTATGTGCGCTGCAATATACAATATTTATTTGAATTTAAGTCCTTTGTTTGGGATCTCAAATCCGCACACACAGAACCATAGAGATTCTCGCATTGAGTCCCGGGGTTGTTTGCTTTGGCTACTTTTTTCTTTTGACTTTACCCTCTTCCCATCCCGATTGATTTCAATTTTCTGCATCGTTTTGATCGTCAACTTTATTTGCAAAAATAAATCTCTATGGCTTTACATCGAATTTCAATCTTATCACGGTAAAGTTCTGGCCCTGACTAGCTCGCTTTCCTTGCATTGCAATAACTGATATAGAGAATCTGGCTTAACCTACATAAGTGGTCCATCGATCGTACAATTAATTACGGCTAATACCTGGTACATATCGGAGTAGCTTAGTTCTAGGCTTACGTCTACGATGGCAAGGTACGTATCCGCTTAGGCTAAATGGACAACCGATTTGTACTACATAGTCGAGAAGATGTGGAATATGCTGAGAAGAAGAGTGCTATATATCGGACCAAGCACCCTTGGTTCAGATATTCCACTGAGATCCACAAAAAAGAAACCAATGATGTGATATAAAGGAGACTTCTGAGACTAATTAAGATTCGAAATGGATCCCAATCGATTTTAAAAAGTTTTCAAAAGTCTCCTTTGGTTGGTTATTGAAAAGTCATTGGTTTATCTTCTGCAGATCCCTCTATAACACGGGACTCAACCGAGTGCAATGATTCGCATTACTTGGAACTGGATCTCCCACTTCCAACAGAATGATAAATCTTTGCATTCAGTTGTGTCCCTCACTTACTACCAATATCAACTGATTGCGCGGGACTCGAGGAAAGTGAGGCAGAGTAATCCTGAGATGAAGAACTTATTAGGATTAACTGAAACCCAAATATGTCGCAGGATCATCTTTGAGGGATTCCCCTAAGTCAGTTTCCTGCAAGTCCGCGCTATCCTCGAACATATCACGCTGAAAAGAACCCTAGATCGCAGCTCTGGCCCCCAAAACTGTGCTACACCTGCGGGGCAAACTGCTTGTAGCTGTGGGGATGTGGAATGGCGTGGGCATGGGCGTGCCCAAGGGCTCCCTGATCCTCCGGATAGTCCTTCCACGGCGGCGTCTGTGTGTAGAAGCTGCTCTGCTGATGAATCCCCGACTCCGCGCTCGCCGGCTGGATATTGGCAGCTGCCTCGAAGGTACCACGGAAGAGATCATACTTCTCCTGCGAGAACTGCTGCGGGGGACTGGAGTCCTGCTTAGGCATGTGCTGGATGGGCTCCGGCTGCTGGTGCTGGTGCTGCTGGTGGTGGTGATAGAACCGCATGCTGCCGGTAAAGTCGAAGCCTGGCGGATGCTGCGGGTAGTCCATGCCCTGCTGGTAGGCCCCGCCCCCCATTGGCGGCTGGTGCTCCGCAGGGTGCGGATTCTGGACCAGAGGCGTGGCTCCCTGGCCATACGGGAACATCCTACCGCAACCGAACATGGGAAAGGGCTGAGGATTCACGAAGAGGGCGTCGAAGAGCTCCTTGGTGATCCGCTCGCCGCTCAGCGTGAAGTTCTGCAGCTTCTCCAGGTCCAGGTTGATCGTGCCGCCGCTCTCGAGCACCTGCTCCAGCGCAAAGATGTAGTTGTGGGCGAAGCGCAGGATCTCGATCTTGGTCAGCTTCGTCTCCTCGGGCAGCGACGGCAGCGTTACTCGGAGCCGTTCCAGGGCGTCGTTCAGCGTGTGCATCCGGTTCCGCTCCCGATCGTTGGCCTTCATCCGGCGGAAGCGCTTGATCCGCACCACCTGCGTGGGGCTTCGCGAGCGCGTCACCCGGTTTTTGCCGACGGCATACTTGCGCTTCTGGCGTGGCGCATCCGGATCTTCGGGCGACTTCACCGGCGTGCTGGTCAGCGACGGCTCGAAGCCTCCGTTCGGGGCGCGACTGTTCAGGTGCTCCACCAACGTTCTGCCGCTCCGCGTGCTGTGGTTACTGCTCGTGTCCAGCAGCCCCACGAATCCCGCAGCGGCCGCCGGTGGTGAGCTGAGTGGCGCGCCATCCCAGGCTGCGGAATACGGCAATTGCGGCGCCAGAGAATTCGGCGCCGCCTCGTCGAAGTCCAAGCGCCGGCGGGAACTCAGCTGGGCCTCCGTCTCGAAGCTCTTCTCGTAGCCACTGTCGAAGGAGGCGTCGTCGTCGTCCTCGTCGAACTCGAAAGACTGTGATCCCACGCTGTAGGCATTGTAGCAGGCTGCCATGATCTCTGCAGTGTTGTGTGTATGTCCTGTGAGTCCTGAGATATCCTTCGAGACTCACTCTGCGCACATTTCCGATTTCCGCTTTGAGAGTCTGACACAGTTGAGAGTTCGTTTCTTCGCGTGCCCGCACCAACTGAAAGCTGGCCAGGAGTGCGCACCGGTTTTATGTGCCCGGCCCGGCCATTAAGCCCGCTGATTTGCCTTCGAACTCTGTACCGCCAGCAACCCTCGGCGCATTGTCGTCGGTCGTGGCGGCGCCATGGCGCACAGCACAGGGTATAAATCCCAACAGATATGCGCCGTGATTGTCGCCCGGGGGTGGCTTTTACTCACACACATACCCCTTGAACAACTCGCAGAGCTCTCGCGGGGAGTTGGAGTCGGTAGCGGAGTCGGAGTCGGAGCAGATTCGTTCTGGCAGACGGTGCTACCAGTCAAAATACGAGCATTATTCACGCTCTGACGACGAGCGGCGTTCTCTAAGCCAATCAGAAGGATGTCTAAGGCCGAGGATCAGTTATGACGCCAAAGCGAAGCACCATCAAGGTCTGCTTATTTTGTATACTCTTTTAAAAGGTTGTTGTAATTATTCATATAGTAAATATTCATATATTCATAGCCATCAAATATGGTTAAATTTGTTATGATTTATAACTATTCTGGACTCAGGTAGTAACTTTGCTCTCAATCTTGACTCAAAATCAATACATTTGTTAAATATATGCATAAGATTGTCTGCTAGCTAGAAGGTTTTTAAAACAAAATAAATAAACAAAATAATAATTAAATGTAGAATAATTTTCGAAATATTTTTAAATCAATAACGGAAGGTATTTAAAAATTGAATCATTTTAATATATTTTTGTTTCATAATTTTAATAAATATGTTTTTTTAGAGGACATGGTTAGATCGACTCTGCTGTTAATGCTTATTATTAAAAATATATATTATATATAGGGTCAGCAATGACTCCTTCAATTATAATAAGAGCAGAATGATGAAGAATAAGTCAGAGATCATGATCGCAGTTAATCAGTATGCATTGATTATGGTTTATGAATAGTTTAAAATTTTAGGGATATTACAAAGCTAAACATTGAAATAGGTCAACAGTTTAAAACCTAAAATATACTCCCATTAAATTGATATTAATATATATAACGTTTAAAAGACAATTGATTTAATTAATAAATATATTAAAAATAAAATAAAAAGTGTGATATATGAAATTAATATCAAAATACTACCTTTGTGAAACATATATATTTATAAATAACCATAAATTGTCATTTATTACCTAATGTAGAGTATAAATGATAAGGCTCATGGCCCAAAATAAATTGTTATTTTATTTTATCACAACATTAAACTTGCGTGGGCTTAATGCGATTGCAATTCAAACGATTCAATTACGCGCAACTCTTTCGTTTTCGCCACTAAACCGCAATAATCGTTTAGGACTTACGCCTGTCGCTAACCGGGTTAGTGGCACGTGGCGAGGACACCGCCACCGCTTCCGAAAAAGCAACATGTGTAGTCTCCCTCAGAAGGCCGTCACTCCTCCAATTCATTCTTCTGATGGGATAGCCAGGCGTTGGCACGTGCCCGTGGTCTTAGCGGCTGCTCAAGTGGCCGAGTGTGCCGGGGCTTCTGTCTGTCTGCTGAAAGGAGGAGGAGTTGGAGGAGGAGCTGCCAAAGGAGTTTCAGTTTCAAGTAACCGGCGGGTGCGGGTGACACGTGCGGAGTTGTTATGATAGCCGGCAATCGTTGCAAATTGCCAGCACGCGGAGCCCCTCAAGAGGGCTAATTGAGTAATTGAGTAAAATATATGCCAGATTTAAGGACTACACCTAAGCGCAAGGCTAATGGCTTTTTATTAACTTGAGAAATCACAAGCAGTATACAAATATTAAGTATAAGAAATAGTTATTAGTTGCTAGAAACTCGTTTAGATCTTTGAGTTCAACTTAATTTCCAAATATGGCTTAGTGTATTTTGCAAATACAACACAATTATTAGCTGCCTAAGCTTTGCTTTAACTCGATTTAGATTAATCAAACCGATTCAAGTAATACAAAGAGTAAAGTTTAACTGAGCAAATATTAATTCTAGGTTTTACATCAACTGCTAGTTATTTGCAAGTTTATTATTTTTTATTTCAGCTTCCTGCTCGGTATTGCTACCCCCAAAAACCGTAGCTTATTGATACATGTTTGTATATATTGCCACCAAAATTCACACCATCTCGGCCACGTGTCGCAGGCGGCGTCCTTCCTGTTCAAGAGCTCCTCCGACGCGTGTACTTAATTTCGTTTTTTACAGAACCACAATGCCTATCAATTAGGCAGTTAATTGAAGAGCGGATGCGTTTGCGTTTCCCATTGGAGAGTTCCTTTTTTTTCGATAGCCTGAGGGTATCGTCGTCGTCACAGTCCAAATAGAAAACCGGGGACTTGGACAAACAGATGTACATGTATATAATTTCATCAGAATCAGAGTCCAGCCAACGCAAATACTCGTACCGGCACATAGCCCCGGGCTAATTGCATTCTAACAAGCGAGGCAAACTCGATTTTCCTCTCTCCCTCTCCCTCTTTTTCCTCTCATGTTTCTCCACCATATTTCTCTCGGTGTGCAACCCCTCGTCTGCATTCGTTACGAGCACGTAGGACTGCGCCTCCGGCTAGGAATCCTGCTTGATTCGTTTTAGATGGGAACGATCTCCTCCTCGTACAGCGGGTCCATCTCCAGCGCCGAGAACTGGTGCATAGGGTGGCTAGCTGCTGGGACGGGTGAATTGGAGGATAGAGAGTCCGAGGACAGCTCGATCACATCCGGCGAATAGCTGGGTGAGTGTCGCGGAGCTCTTATACACCTCGGCCCGGCGCCTCGTCCTCGTCCGCGTCCGCGCCTTCTCACCACCACCACCGGGTGAGGCACTTCCTCCAGATCCGTTGATGAGTCCGATGTTATGTGCTTGAAGAGCGGCTTTATGTCAACGATGCGGGGCGGAGGTGATGGGGATACCGAGTCGGACGTAATGTGCACGAATTTCTTGAAGCGCCTTCTGCCCGACTTCTGAGCATCCGAGCTGTGGTTGGACGCAGTGCTATCCTCCGTGTGGGAGCGGCTGCCTAGGATCCTGCGTCGCTTGGACTGCGACTGCTCTCGGTAAAAGTCCTCCAGATTGGTACGCTTGACCCGCACCCGAACTCCGCGCAGCTTCTCAATGTCCTGGACAGTAAGCATTTTCAGGCACACGCGAATCGGTCTGGTAAGGCACTCATTGATGAGGTGCTCCCTTACCTTCTTCTCATCAGGAGTTTCGTCGGGGGGCACCAATGTATACAAGGACTGGCCAATTGGCTCCAGCTTGGGCTCCGGCTTCTGAGCAATGTCGTCGCACCTTGTCTCCTCCGCCGTGCCTGTTTCCGTTCCGGTTTCCGAGGTGGTTTTGGAAGCGGAAGCGCTTTGTTTTCCGGGTTGCTGAGGCTCCTCGCTTAGCTGAGGTTCATTTTTTAGATGATTTGTGTCCTGGGTTTGTTGCTCACAAGAAACTGGCTCCTCCTTTACTTGCTCACAAGAATCTGGCTCCTCCTTAACTTGCGAGCTTACTGTCTCCTCTGCACTTTCCATTAGCCCCTCTACTGTTTGCTTGTTTTCCTCTGGCTCCTCGGATAGCTGTGTGGTTTTCGGGAGACTCTTGGTTAGCTGCCTTGCATCCAAGGGCTCAGCGGTTAGCAGATTCTCTTCGTTTACCTGTGACTCCTCCGTTGCCTGAATATCTTCAATGAGCTCCTCTTTAATCTGTCTCGTGTCCACAGATGACTCTCCTAGCTCCTCCTGGGGCTGCTCAGTCTGTGGTGCTGTCTTGGGGCTCGCATCCTCAACCAGTTGTCCTTTAGATCCCAGCGGCTGCTCTGTCAACCCGACCGTATTCGTTTCTGTGGGCTGCAACACTTGGTTCTCCGAGGTAAGTTTAGGAACAGGCGGGAGGGGCTGTGTAGCTAGCTCTCTACTTACACCGGACAACAAATCGTCGCTTGGCTCATCCTCGTTAAAGTAGTGAGTGGCCATCGATGAGGCTTCGGAGGAGATGCTTTCCGTCTCAGAGCCCGTGCGAACAGCCCTTCTGGTTGGCTGTGGCTCCACCGGGGGCACCTTCGCTGCCACGGTCTCCTTTAACGACTTCCAGCTCTTGAATTTGCTGAGCACGGAGCTGCACTCCATGAGGCTGTTGCCCTCGCTGGCCACGTTCTGGAGTTCCTCCTTTTCAAAGCTCCAGATGTCGGCGAAGGCCTTGAAGCCGCCGGTTTCGTTGCTGAACTTGGTGCGAGCCTCCAGCAAATCGCCGATCGTACGCTTCTCATCACTAGTGGTGGCAGCCTCCTCTGTTGACGGGGGTCTCGATGGCTTGGTCTCCGTCTCCTGCTTGACCTCGATTGTTGAGAGTGGGTAACCCCTGAACTCATCAGACAAGGCCGGAGAACTGGAACGTCGGCCGCAGCGAACACTGCGATCCATGTCGGACAACATGGCATTGGCCACCATGGCCGCAGCCCTGACCCGTTTCCGGCGGCCATTGCCCGTGTAGTAAGCCTCCGAGTCGCTGGAGGCCGCCTCCTCCTCTTCGTCTTCCGAGAACACTGAGATTGGGTTGAAAAGAAAGCATGGTTTATATTAAACTAAAGGCTTTTTTCGAGTAAGGAAGCTAACTTCGGCACGCCAAAGATAGGAATGGATAGATATAGAATGGATACCCTTGCAGTTTTCAGGTGGATCATTAACAATCATCAATCCTTTGCTTTGAAAACATTCCGAAAACATTATTTTTAAATCAACTTAAGATTAACTAAAGCAAAGTAATATCAACTTTCATTATAATTACCAATTCCAGTTACCCTAAACAGAAGACAACAAATTATCATCACTCGACTCAGACTTGGACGCACATACTCAACTATCTTGACAGAACCAAAAACAACCTGTGCCCATTGCGCAACAACGACCTTACCATGCAACGTTCCCTACTCCTTCACAACCCTAGCCCTATCACCACAATGGCCAACCCCTCAAATTAAAACTCAAAAAACGATGGATAAGTAAATCTTTTGTAAATATCTATGCCCATGTCTCAGAGTAGATGAAAATATGTTGTTGAAAGACAGCAAAGTTATAAATTTAAATTACAGCACCCTGCAAGTGTAAAACAGAAGAAATCTCTCGTTACCTTCATCCCAGAACTTGCGCGTAGGACGACGCTTCTTCTGCTGCTTGGACTTCACGTCCTCCTCCTCCGTAGCTGTGGGAGTCTGCTCTGGTTCCTCCTCAGGCTCCGGCAGATTGGCCGCGTTCTCGTAGCCCTCCTCGATGGTGCCGTAGTCTAACTGCGGTCTGTCCCGGTACTTGGCGTAGTCTATCTTCAGGTACTCCAAGCGGTCACTGGCCTCGGCCATGTTGAGGGCCACGAACTTGTTCTTAAGGTCGCGACTCTTCAGCAGCGCATGGCAGCGCTCGTGCAGGGTGTACCAGTCCAGCGCCCAGGAGTAGCGCTTGTTGCGCGGCTGGAAGACCACCGTCAGCAGGTCCTTGATCATGCTGGGCGGCAGGCGCAGCGCCTGCAGGGCCTTGTAGATGGGATCGTAGTCGCCCACGGGGGCATTGTGGTTGGTCACGGTCACGATCTCGTCCACATCGATGGTAGAACTGAGCAGTTCGTATTTGATGGTCTGCGATGGCGCCGCCGCCGGGGTCCAATGGTCCTCCTCTTGGCGCTTCTTCTTAATGCGCGAGCACCGTCGGACCTCGTTGTAGTTGACCGATATGGGATTGAGGTAAAAGGCCGTCAGCCAGAACTCGGCCTCCATGAATCCGTGGTCGGAAAAGACCTTCGCCAGGTCGGCGTAGTTCTGCGACATCTTCTGCTCCAGATTGAGCATGAACTCGGTGGTCAGGCCGGGATGATAGCGCCAGATTTCAATGGCATTTAGCTGCTGGCCAATGATCTTCAGCAGGATGGCAATCTTGGCAAACTTCCAGCCGCTAAATTCCTGTGAAAAAGCAGCCTTATGAGAGTCTGTTGCGGTAATTGACGCCGAGCTGTCTTACCCGCTCCGCCAGCAGTTTGTAGACAAAGTCTAGAATCTCCTCGTTGTTCGGCACACTTTGGAACACCGGGTCTATCTGCCTGTCCAGCTCCTCGTCCGACTCGGGCGGCAGGGGCTTCTCGTCGTCGTCACAGTTCTTGTAGTTGCCAATGTTGCTGGCTCGGTTGCCCTTGCAGATCTGCTGCTGGTAGTTGATGTTAAACTTCACCACTTGCGGCTGGAAGTGGCTGTTCCGCTGGTTCTCCAGCTTCTTCAGCTCCTCCAGCAGGAAGCGCTCGCTGCTCTCCCGTTCCGCCACGTAGCGGTGCATGAGCTCCTTGAACTGCGACGAGTGCTCCAGGAAGTCGTGCTCGTTGAGGGCCATCAGTTCCACCAGCTGGTTGCCCAAGACATAGCTGGTGTAGGCCTCCAGCATGACGGCGAACGAGGTGACCAGATTGAGCTTGAACTTCTTGAAGCTAATCTGCTCAAAGAACCCGGTTTTCCCCATCCGGAGGCGCACACACACCTGGGCAATGAGGCGGGCTGGCGTAAAGTGGGTGTGCTCGGAGATGGGAGAATGCTCCTGCATGCTCTGGGCATAGAACCTGATGTTGTACATCTAAAGAGCACCGCGATTATATGATGAAATTCTGTTTGAATGTGGCGTAAGAAAAAGTCTTCTTACCAAGTTGTCAATGGCATAGCCCCGATTTTCGTCCATCGTAAAGACAGTCAATAGGTAGAGGTGCCCCACCAAGGCAATCGAAGATTTATCTCTTTCTATGGCCTCAAATGTAGCGTACTCATTGGCTTTCAGCCAGGCGGCCAGCATGCGCAGGGACAGCTGCTTGACCGCCTCAAAGTTGCCGGCATTAAAAAGCTGCATGAGACGCAGCAGTATCAGATTGAGGCCATCATCCTTCAGGAAAGTGATATCTACAAGGAACAACATGGATTCAGTGGGATTCTAAGAATGGACCAGATGGAGTATTATTATAGTTTTACCCTCAATTGTGGCCACCGCAACTGCATGCTCGATGGCATGATGCTTGTTCTTGCGTAGGTTGAGGAAAAGCTGCTGCAGGTACGGCACACTCCAGGGACTCGCCTGAAACTTGAGCACGTAGGCCCAGTTGATATTGGCCAACTCCTCAATGCGGTAGAAGGCCGGCACCGCTTTGGTGAGGCTGTAAAGCAACATGTTCTTGAGGCCATCGGAGCAGGTGATCCACTCCTGACTGAACCACATCTGCAGCGAGTGGTGCGCCAGCACAAGGACGAGGTGCCGTAGCGCCGGCTCCTTGAAGGCGCCCACATCCCGGCTGGGTACCCGGCACACCTCCCAGCCGTAGAGAAGCTGCGCCAGCCTGTCGTTGCCCATCAGCTCAAACACATCCATGTCGCAGTGTCCGTTGCAGAACGCAAACATTTGCTGTCAGTTTTAAAGTTCTTATTAGAAAAAGTTCTTGTTTGTTAATAAATTGCAATTGCTCACCGCCGAGAACTCGTCGTAGTGCAGTTTCTCGGCGCAGGACAAGAACTTGTCCACGTTGTGGACATCCTGTGTGAAAATTATCTCCATCCTTCAGTCCTAATGCATGTCACTTAGCCGTAGAAAATAATATTTAATGTTGTGTGCAGTTTGTTTAGAAAATAATTTATTTTGTTCTTAAGCAGTGTGACCAGTGATGAAAATTTAGCTTGTCCCTAAAAAATCTCGCGGTGCCAGAGTATTCGTTCATGAGCGACCAGTGCTGCCAGACTTCGAATTCAGGAGTGACCAACATTGCCAGAGTGCCTGTCACAAAGAACCGCCACATTTGAATTTGATTTCTAGAATTGTATTAATTATTTCTTCTAATAAAAATATAAAAAAAGGAGTACTTTCAGAAAGTAAACAAAATTTAAGTTTTTTTAATTTTTATATTTTTATAAAAAATATTGCTTAGTAGATAAAAGTGAACAGCTAAAGGTGTGAGATTTTTTCTCCAATAACCAATAAAATACTATAGTAAAAATGGGACGCTTCTTTCAGGGCTTTTACCGAATTGCTTGTAAAAAACCTATATAGTTTTGGCATACTTTCACTTTAGTTTGGCCTTGACCCCTCGGAAATTGTATGTTCCCATGGCTTCCTTCCTGCCCTTTTGTTGGCCAGATGGCATATGCAAAGTGCAAACAAATTATTATTAGCTGCCAACAGCGCCAGCTACATCATCTTCACAATGGAATCGCCAGGGGATTCCCATTCAACTGTGGCACCCGTGCTGGAGGCGAGCGGAGTCCTCGCCAGGGCGGGTCTTCGCTGCACTCTGGCATGGTGCCACAGTTGCAGTTCCGCCTTAAAGACAAACCCACTTAATTCACTTTGTCACCATGCAAATGAAACATTAGTGGTGACGTACTGGAATGGATCGCTCAAAGGTCGCAATCGGATGCCTGCAATTAGGCCAGACACGTAAAAGGAAATGATTTACAATCGTTGTTGCTCCCGTTGATGAGCAGCTGCACTCTCCACTCCCCCCTAAAATATACAGAGAAAAATAACCACTATTTACTGAATTTAAATAAATAGGAAATGATACATTTCTATAATGTAATTTACAATATATAAAGTTTAATCACCCAAAAAATTAATTGAAATTTTTATATTTATATTGTGTTTATAGTTTGTTATGCTTGTCGGTAAAAAATTTATTCGTGTTAAACGATTTTGCCAGTATTTAAATTAGAAATTGTGTCTTTAAATGTCATAAAATAACTAGCTAATAATATTCCTTTAAACCATTTCAATTAAAATCATAAATTGATATTTTAAACCATTCCCTTTGATGACAACTAAATCTAGTTTTTTCCAATAATAAATTCCACAATCGATCAAACTTCTTGCCGTGTTGCGGAGAAACGGACACATGTAGCTGTCAGTGGTGCTGAGAGTCCGCAGCGATTTATCAGGAGCCAAATCAATTAGTAACTACGTAGCTTATCGCCGACCGATGGGACTGGGACCAGGGTTAGGGTTAGGGGGTCGGGTGGCATGTCCCATTCATTATACGCACCACCGGCAGAGGAGTGTCATAAATATTCCCATCATCGTTTATTCGGCGAACAGCCATCAAATGGCCGCAAATGAAAACCTGTTGATGTCCCCCGGAGCACACTTGGATACATATACCGAGGCATACAGGGGCGACGGGACGCCTTGCGACGCTTTGTAATTGAAGAAGCTCCTTTGGCTCGTTTTTTAGCAACAAAACGGGAGGCAGCCGCCCGATATCGCCATAAATATTCATGAAGCACTAAAAGGGTTCTCGTCCGGATGCTTAGGTCCTGTAGCGACACCCGCCCACAATGGAAGGTGCTGGAATTGTGTCGTATTTGCCTGGTCAATTGCCATCGGCGGTGACAAAGAAATGCAATATGCAATATGCTCCTCTGCGCCCCATTTGCTCCATTGTAAGCGCCTGAGTGTGGAGTGGAGTGTTTAATTTTAAATGCCCCAAGGAGGGCGCATGTACCTGAATTTGAATGAGTCCAAGGCTTCGGCTCCCAGGAGGCCCAGGATCTGGACTGGGCAGGGGCACGGTGAATAAACAATCGCGCATGTGTGCCATACAAACGCCGCGCTAAGTAGGCAACACAACTCACTTTTCGGCCACTTCCGTTGCACAAACGGCGACAAGCGGATATCCCCCTGCCGAAGTGCGTGCGTGCGCAGTCCGGCACACACACGAAGCTCCGTTCGTGCGGACTCATAGGTTCCCGACTCGCTTCCGTTTTGATTTATAAGCGACCGCCGCACCGGGCTCCGAATCATTAGCAGTTGATCAACAGGTTAGTCCACAACTAAAAATCAGAGAACGGCACCAAGAACAGCGAACTGGAGAGAACTGGAAACGCCAACCCAGGAGCCACTATCCCGGAAGTCAGATTCACACGGGCTGATTGAGTGCACTAATTGAATTGCAGTTGGGCCTGCAAATCCACTTACGAACCCCATTTATTCCGTGGAAAAATAAAACAAAATTCAAAATCCAATTGTGAATCCTTCGGCAAACCGCAAAAACAGTTTACGAAATACAACCAAAAAATATACTCAGGTGAGTGGATTCAATATATTCGTAATTCGTTTGCGGGCCACAGGAAATGTCGTTTGAGAAAATAATTGTGGTTACTAAAAGCATTTGCTAACAGTTTTAAATTTAATTGCTAAAAATACTACAATATTAGATGTAGATAAATATTTAATGAAAACTTGAAATTTATTGACTTATGTTTTTTAACAATTTATATATTCATTAATACATTTGAATATTTAATAATTGAATAGGAAAAATGTGACTGTAATCCAAAAATATATTTCTTTATTCAAAGTTAAAGGTAAAGTGAATACCAGAATATTTTCTGGCTTGAATTTTCTCTGAACAAAAATATATATTCATATATTTATTCATATTATTCATATATTTTTGCTTTCAAGGGTATCCTTCAGTTAAAATCTGTCCAATCAATTTCGCTTGTTGAGTTAACTAATTAGTAAATGTTTCTACACTTAATTTTGTGAATTTCAATGCCATTAAATATTTAAGCTTTGCCAGAAACACCTTAAATTATTCATTAAAAATCAATGACCTAATTTTGGCCCAATAATGAGTTTAGAATTTTCAAAAATAGCCCGCTGTTGCGTAAATCTATTGACGAAACATGGCTAAATTATGCAGAACTCCTTCGCCAAACAAAGGCCCGAAATTGAAGTGGGAAGCGGAGAGGAGACGCACGGCTAACCTGCTTGAGACGAGCAGTATATATTTACTCTTTTGCGGATATTTTGTTTACTTACGAATTTTCGTTAATGTCCACGTCCCCGAGAAGATTTCCATTCACACTCAGTAGCAGTAGCAACAGGCTGGCGCTGGCGCTAGCGGACTCCTTAGGTCCCTCTGCGTGGGTGCTGCCTGCCGGCAGGAAACCTATTTAAACAAAGTACTTATTGGCAAATGCCATCCCTTGGCAAATATTTGTGCTGGCTATTTATCGAGACATACAAAGAATATACGATCTGCCGAGCAGGCAAATTCGATTTCCAACGGTCTGTTTAATTTTGGCGCGAAAATTTCGTTTCAATTTGTTTGCGCAGCAAACTTGAAGTGGTGGCCACCGTACAGGAGTGCCTCGTTCCTCGCCTGACACCACATGAATTATTCCCCGGTCGACTGACTACCGACTGACAAATTAATAATGGAGCAGAGCGAGTCAACTACCAAATTCCGAAGACTGTCATCCGCAAGGGCCATAAATATTTTCAGTTAATTTCAATTACAACTTGACCCGGCCACGTTTGCGTGGTCTTTGTTTCCGCACAGTGGATTCAAAAGTCACGGTTTTGCCAGGGAACATTTGAATCACATCAATTTACTTATATAATCTGTAGTTGTATTTATTATTATTCTTTATTTAAGTTTCAATTTTAATTTATTTTGTTAGCTTACAGTTAAACAACCCATTGTTGTTAGCTTGCTTAACTCCAAATAAGAATCATTTCTTGAAATTGTTACCCCAAAATCCTAACCTTCTGACCACTGTTCTGGGGGGGCCATAAAATTCGATGCGTGCTCTATCATCGCGGTGGCTATATATTATAATTTGGCGCAAAGCCGCTAAAACTTTCATCTGGGCGACGTCAATCAATCAACGACAAGCGCACAAATTAAGTCCAAGCTAAGTCGGAAAAAGGCGGCCGAGTCCGCACTCGGACAATCAGTCAGGAGTTCGTGGTTGGGAGCTAGGGGACATATCCGTATCCGCGTTCAGCTGGCAACGGGTTGACCGAGACTCCTCAATTAGCTGGCCAATCCGAGCGGACAGGCAGCAACATCATTTAATCAGGCTACCCGCAGATAAGATATCGTCGCCTTGCCTCCTGTTGCTCCGATTCTGGTGGGCTTTGCATACTTGATTCCCGGCTGCTGACTTTCCATTGCCTCCATAATGGCGCCCACCAGCTGCTGCTGGCTCGCAATGACCATAAAATCTGACGGGGATTAGAGCAAATGGAAGCGCGAGGCAGTTAAAGGATTAGATTTTCTCAATTGGCCTCGAAATTCTATTAAGTCTAAAGTATTCAAAATAAGTTTATTGATTATATTAGTATAAATATGAATGTGTTTTATTCAAAGTAGATTTTTTGATTGTTCATAGAAATTCAAAATAAGTACAACCGTTTTCCATCAAATTATAGGAAGAAGTGAGTTTCAAGTATCTAAAAAGAGTTTTTACAATATTAATTAAAAGGATTTTAGTTGCAACATTTTATATTTTTATTAACTTGGTGCCTTTTGCCCAATTTACCTTGAAATTTGTTTATTTTTAGCTAAGTTATTTCCCAAAGAGTTCTGAGAATACCACTCAAAAGGCATAAATTAATGAGTTATTTATTTAATTAGCAAACCCTCTCTTAGTTCAGTTAAATTTTGAGTTTGAAAGAGGCCTCAATACTGGGACATCCAATATTGGTGACATAAAATGAATACATCTGATCTTTCACAAACAAATATTTGCAAGAGCATCGCACAAAATACATAATTCCCGCATAATGCGTTGGCATTTCCGCTTCCTTGGAGTGTCCTTTAAGCCGGATGCGGCGTGTGCTCGAATGTATGCAAATCAATATGCTCATGCGAGCGCATAGGAAAAACTACTTTGGCAGGAAGTGCAAACAAACGGCGAACAAGGAGCAGATCCCGCTCCCGTTTCAGCATTTTCCAGTGGCTTTTGTCTAGTCTGTCGAGTGGCCGCAAGTGCAATCGCAAGGCACTTAAGCCACTGCGTAAACATGCCCATAATCTTGATATTAGCGTTTCGAAGCATCATTATCGACTGGGATTCCGGCTCGAATGGCCCATTCCCAGCGACCGCTTCCGCCCGTGTCCAATCATTCCGTTGCGTTGGCTTCTGGCCCCCTCCAATCCACTCCCGCCGTTGTTTGCCGCTGGGCCTACGCACATTCCAAGGACCTCCGGCTCCTGGAATGCACCCCCCTCTGGTTGCTACCTCGGAGGGACATTAATAGGCCATAAATTGTAACTGTTATGCGCTGCTGCCTTTTAACACAGCGGTCGACAGACGGCATGACCTCAGTCATCCTGCGGAGCCGGGGAGTAACCTCATCCCCCTGTCCACGCCCACTCAGCGGCCCCCACCGCCTTCAATTAGAGAGGTTATTTAGCTAAATCGTTACGCTTGTTCCCCCTGTTATCCATGTTCCCGTGGCTCCTGTTCCCGCTCCTGCTCTGAGCGTGTTGTCTTAATGCCGAGGCGCGGGCGGAAATGATTGCCGCAGGACTCCCCAGCTCTTCAGAGGAACCCCCAGGGAGCAGTCGAGTGGAGCCGCCGACAGCGGCTTAATTGAGCATTCCTCGAGGCCTGCGGTTGGGCTTCGGCCCAGGATCAGTCTCCCGTCGGGCATTTATTCATTCATATTTACACCTTTGCACTGAAAGCAATTTTATTAGACCACGATTTAGCTTGCCAAATGCCACTGCATAGGCCAGGCTGCCATCTGCTCACTTATTAATAGTGGATTCTATAATTTGATTTATAGCTTTTAAATTATTCAATTGAGATAGAATTAGGATAAATATACAAATGTGAAGGCAGTTGGGACTTTAATTTTTGGAAATGTCAGCAGATAATTAACATTTCATATTCTAAAATCATTTAACTTAAATGTATAAATTTTTATATAACATGCTTTTATTGGATATTTGGCCTATCCAGATTTTAGACGAGAGACAGTGCATACATATATTTTATTTTCTGAAATATATATTTCATTTTGAATAATTTAATTGATGAGTTTGATTTGCATTCAGCAATACAGTTAAACTACTGATTTTGTGATTTTGTATTATGTATAAGCAAAGGATACAAGTATCTAAAATTTCTCAACTGCATTTTTGAAGGAGCGCTCTAAGGCAATTTTATATTTTCAGTTTTGTGAACAGGAAACAATTTAAATCAAATATATTCCCAGATTTTCAAAAAATATTCTTCAAACTTGTTATTTTTAAGGAAATCATGTGCTATCGTTGATAAATCTTTGATAACTTGAAGCCTTTTTTTTAGTTTTATTATCGTGCGATATTACTATTTAAAAAGATTATACCATTCCATTATACATTCCGAATCGATATATTATTCTTACTTTAAATGACCTTTAGTAAATTATTATAGTTTTACAGTGTATTATAATTTAAGTAAGAAACTTGGAAGGCAGTTAAGGAGTCATTTTTGACCCTATAAATCATATTGTAGTAGATTTAACCATTAATGTTAAATAAATTATGTAGTAGTATTGTAGTTTATTGTTTTAAATTCAATACGCTGATTTAATAACCTAAAAAAATACAAGCAAAGAATTAAAATTAATGCATTTTCGGTGTAGTTTTCGATTTAAAATTCTCTCCTTGATCAACTGCGGCTTCCTTTCTTTTTTGTATTAATTTCTATAAATTATTTTAAGGTTTGCATTTTGCTTCAGCTTGCTTAAAATATTCCATCCATAATCTAATTATTTTCGCAGTAATGGCTCACACGAAGACACGGAGAACCTATGGCTTCCTGCTGCTGCTTCTCATCCTGGGCAGCGCCTGCGGCAGCCTGGTGGCCAGCGGCAGCACCACTAATTCCGCTGCGGCCAACGAGCCAGGAGGCGGAGGCCTCTCAGAACAGGTAGTGGTTGACCAGCTTAGCGAGAGCGACCTGTACGGAAACAATGGGAACAAGCGCGCCTGGCAGTCGCTCCAGAGTTCGTGGGGCAAGCGAGCCTCCGCCGGTGATTCGGGAGATCCAGACATCTACATGACCGGACATTTTGTGCCTCTGGTCATCACCGACGGAACCAACACCATCGATTGGGATACCTTCGAGCGGCTGGCCAGTGGACAGACCCCGCAGCAGCAGCTCCAACAGTCGCCGCAGTCGGGCGAGGATGTGGAGGAGCTCGCCGGCGAGCCGGACGTGGATAAGCGGGCCTGGAAGAGCATGAACGTGGCCTGGGGCAAGCGGCGACAGGCGCAGGGCTGGAACAAGTTCAGAGGGGCCTGGGGCAAGCGCGAGCCCACCTGGAACAACCTGAAGGGCATGTGGGGCAAGCGCGACCAGTGGCAGAAGCTCCACGGCGGATGGGGCAAGCGCTCCGTCCAGCCCCTCAACTAATCCCTCACGGAATCGCCCCCAAACTTAGCCAGACTAACTAATCCAACTGTATCTAACCGTATATAGCATGTGTGTTTCCTCCCCGGAGGGGTTCCGTTCTCAGTGTCCATCTCGCGGAAGGCTGCCCGGCACGGGGAACCCTCCCGTCGCCCGGAAGTCCTCCGAAAGTCAATTCCGAAAATGTATGAAAGCGCTCGCCAGTTGCCGGATCCTGATGACCCGATCAGCCAGTATTATACGCATTATATCAGTATGTCTAGTAAACTATCCACCTAGCACCTAGTCTCCAAGTATACAAGAGGATCTTTCGGAAGAATACCGCTTTAATTTAGAAACGTTAACTAAGTTAATGAATTGTGCATATACATTTATAATTAAATATACATCCATGCATACCAAATGGCAACCTATCGATATAAAATGCAAATACGTTGAAGAAAACCTACAAGCCTTTTAGTTTCATTGGACGTTTACGTTGCAGTAGTAAGTTCTGATTGGTTCCAGTACTAATTCTATCTCAAATAAATCTTTCCATTCTCGAAACAAAGTCAGCTCCTTAATAGTTGACAGGCAGAATATAGGAATTTTTGCATTTACAACATAAACTATTTCAAAATGAAATTAACTGAGGCCAAAAAGAGAAGCCTTGTATTTTGCGCATTTTCCCTTGTGATTCTGATAGTGTGCTTCATCCTGATTGCCCACTACTGCGGCTTTCAGCATGAGCCACAGGCGTATAGGGTTATGCTGGTGACCTTGCTCTTTGTGGTGGTCTCCCACTTACTCTTTTGGGAGCCTATTCGGTTCATTGTGCTGGCCATCGACCACGCCACATGGCCGTCGGTAGATCATCCGTACCGGTCGGAAAAGGGCCCCCAGCCCAACCTCTTCACCTACCTGAAGACCCGGCTAAGCTGCCTGCGCTCCGAGGTCATAATTACCGAGGAACACCGGAACGAGGCCCTAAACCAGAAGTACAAGAACATTTCCACCGACCTGTGGCTCTACGGATCCTCCTATCTGGCCCTTCTGTTGACTATCCTAGCTATGCAGGACCAGTCCCTCTACTACGCAACAAACATGATGGGCAGGTTATTTAACCAGGACACACCGACCACCATGGGCCTGTCGAACCTTTGCTTACAGTACGAGGTAGGCAACCAGGATCCTTGAATGAATGGCCTAAACCGCTTCCCACAGACTTACATGTTCATCGCGATTACCTTAGTTGAAGCCTTCAATGCCAACAGCAGCGTTTACGGCCACGACGGTTGGTATGCCATGGATCAGTGGAAGATGCTGGGCGCGATTCGGTTGCGCCAGTTACGCACCGTGAACAAAAAAATCGGACTGGGCACTCCCAAATGGGATAGCGTGACTTATGCTCCCGGGTGGAAGCTGCCGTACCAACACCTGCACTACACAGATAGGTTCTGGCGGGTGTTCGACCCCTTCAAGCCGATGGTTGTGGAGCCCACCTTCATAAATGGCCTGCTCCTCAACTTTCGCCACTTTGGCGAATTCATGAACTACCCGGAGCTCGGCGGCTACATGGCCCTGATGATGAGGCCGCTGGTAAGGATGTAGTAGGTCTGAAAGCTGAGTCTATCTCTACTACCGTAGGAGAGCAATCGAATGCAGCTCAAGTACCTGGACGAATCCAAATGGCTGAACAGGAATACCGCGGCCCTGTTTATCGACTTCTCTTTGTACAACGTGGACGCCAACGTCTTCGCGATACTGACGCTGCGGGTGGAGAACAGTCCGTTCGGGCCGCAGCTGCCTCATGTGGGAGTGGACTGCGTCAGGATACTAGCGCTGATGGACTTCACATCTTGGTATCAGCGGTGCTTGATGGTCATATACTTCATTAGCGTCCTGCAGTTCATGCGCGTTCTGCTGGAAAACCTGTGGTACGACCCCGCGGCCATTAGGAAGGTATGGAACCTGGTGGACGTGTTTATTTGCCTGCTGAACGTGTTTTTGCTAATATTGTGTTTGCTGCACGAGATTCTGACAACTGGCCTGCTGATGAGGATCCAGACGTTGACCATGGATCAGTTTCTGGAGACGCATCGTCTGTTGCGTCTGCACCATATAATAAGCGCCAACATGGGCTTGCTCATTGCCATCACCACGCTGCGACTGTGGAAGGTGCTGCAGTTCGCCTTCGTCTTCCAGCACTTTGCCCAGACGCTGTCCTCCGCCTGGAAGGGGGTCCTCAGTCTCGGGGTGGCCATTGTTGTCGCCCTCATGGGCATTGGAATTGCTCTGGCCGTGCCCAACGGCAACAACGCCGTGGCTTTTCGCCATATCTTCCATGCGGTCACCACCTGTCTTTGGTAAGTGTGAATAAGTCAAGAGAACTCCTCATGTATATATGTATGCCGATTCCACAGGTACTCAGTGGGCTTCAACGAAAAATTTGACACCAAAGACTTATTCCACGGAGGAAAATTATTAGGAATGCTGCTGTTCCTTTTGATGGTCTTTATTGTGGCCATCATTCTTATAAATGTATTCGCATCCGTCATCTACGACTATTTAAGATCAACCAGACAGATTCTGAGAGAGAAGCGAAAGGCCGAGAAGATCAGCTTCTGGCAGTTCCTGAAGGCGGAGTATGGCGAGACCGTGCGCCGCTTCTTGAAGTGCTTTTTCCAGCAAAAGTACTACCGCCGCAGGCACACAGTTGCCGAGAACGTAGCCATGAAACTGGACCGTCAGGAGCAGAAGGAGCTGCTAAGGTCACGTGGCCGGAACTATAAGCCAAAGCCACCGCTGACCGATGAGGAGCAGCATGCGGACTATCTGCGCCGTGTGCATCGTAGTATTAGTCTTGAGGCTGTGCTACAGGTACAACTGGAGCTTTTGAAACGCTATCTCTTGGGGGACGAGTATGGCAATGTGCCCACACCGCCGGAGTCTGACGTGGATTCCGTCCCAGTTAAGCGAAGACAGTAATATACTTTGTGTGTCTCTGGATGTTTCTTTCAGTGCAGCATAAGATATCTTTAAAAAGCACTAAAGTCATGTAATAAAGCACAAACCGCCTGGGAACAGAAGTATCTTATAGATACATTCATATGACAGAACCATATTATAGATGCATATACATATATGTATCTTCAGATGTGAAGACGTCTTCAACCGGGTGAACTTTCTTTTGCTCAACCTTACGACTTAACCTCTGGATCGTTCCCCTTCGTCGAGCAGAAGCCGCTGAAACGAGCGGCGATAAATGATTTAATTAAGCCGAGCTGGGGGCTGGTGCCTCCTGCCTTTCTGCCGGGGCGTGAATAACTCCACTAATTTCGGGCCGCTCACCTGCCGTGGCGGGGCAGTATTTCAATAATCCCGTAGAGGGACAAATTGGCAACTACACGCCCGCTGCTCCCGCTGATGCGCTGATGAAACGCCTGACGAAAGAGTTTGGAAAGAACTCCAGTCTGCCGCCAGAGCTGTCAAGCCCAGTCGAGCCGAGCTCCCAAGCTGGCGGCACTAATCGCTCGCGGGGCACATTGCACGGCGGCGGACGTCTCAATGCCAGCAGCCAAGCGGCGACGGCAATTGTCTGCCTGCAATTTGTCGCCAGCGCCTGTAATGCCACCCACTCCAGGTGACGACATGGTCCCTGGCAGGTGGCTTCCAGCAGGCGATGGGTATACCTGTATAAAATCAGCCGCTCTGCAGGCGGCGCACTCAGTGGAAATGTTCGCGATCAACGGAAAACTACTCCCGGGCTGTGCCCTCTGTCTCGGTCTTCTCGTTACCTTCGCGGCCGCGCAGAACGCCAGCGAGGAGTCCGGGTCCGCCTCCTGGAAGCCCCTCCAGCCGCAGAAGCGTCAGGCTGTGGTGAAGCTGGACACCTTGGGCTCTGCAGCAGCCAAGAGCTACGATCCACCGCCGGAGTTTTATCGCGGGCCGGGCTCATCTACCAAGTCTACCTCCAAGCTGGACAGCCAAGCGGCTGGTTTCATATCCAAGCCGATTGGTTCACTGCCTCCAGTCGGAGGCGTCCACTCCCAGATCAGCAGCCTTAACGACAATCTCAGCGAGGCCTACGACAAGTGGCGTCTTGGGGGCGGAAGTCTCCAGGATCGCATCAGTGTGGGTGGTGGGTTTTAAGTTCAATTCTTAACGAACCCTGGATCCTGACAAACATGAACCTTTCCTTTATGTCCAGGTCCCTATGGAGGCAGTGGCAGTGCGGGTAAGAGCTACGCCTACGATAGTCATCCGTATCCCTACGACTACGGGCCCAGCCATGGATATGAGCCAGGACATGCCCAGGGACACGCAGGATATTCCTCAAGCGGCGAGGCAGGAGTGCCCTACCACGTTTACAGACCTCGACCGGAGCACGGTCACTACCAGGGTGCATCCGTGGACTACGGTTACAGTCCCTATCAGGTGGACTCGCACGAGATCGTCGCCCACAAGGGATCGCCGGAGCTCTCGCCGAAAGCCTTGCTGGCCAAGAGCTTCCTTATCCCGCTGGCGAGTGCCACTGTCCTGGGCATAGCCGCTGCCTTGGTCAGCAATCCCCTCCTGCTGCAACTGGCTCCAGTGCCTGGGATCGGTGTTGGAGTGGGCGTCGGAGCTCCAGTCGTGGGCAAGCGTAGGCGGAGAAGGAGGGCTGAGCAGCGGACTCAGAGACAAGGAAAATTATAGAAAAAGATCGCTCTAATCGCAGATTGTTCCTTTTCTAACCCATGTATATCAGGAAATACGTAATATTATTATAATCAAGTTTCGAAAATGTTTTTAATTAAAGGTATTCTATTTTTAAATGGAAGTTTCATAAATCAAGAAAAATTTACTGGGCAAATTATAGGAAAAGAGCAAGAAACTTGGTGGTTCAAATACGCGCGATGAGTGAAGTGGCCTTGCCAGACTTTCCATTCACAGTGTTGAAAATCGCTCAAGAGATAAGTGCTGCCAGACAGGTGAAGAAAACTTCCATTTTCCTCTTTAAACGTTTTTTGCAGCGGTTGGAACGCATAAATATTGGTGCGGGTGCATGGCGGCAGGCAGGAAAAATGGATTTTCCCCAAAAAATCGTAGGAAATCCCTCAAAACGCTGTTATATCACTGTAGAACAGTTTAGCTAAACGGGTTGAAACTTAGCTAGATATTTAGCAGAGCTCTGAACATTGGTGTGACCAATCGAATTTTGAATATCTGGACTTTTGGAACACTGAATTAGACTAAAAGGGTCACACTTGCGAAAATCTAGCGCCAATTTGCCGGCATTTTTGCCGATTTCCCGACATTTTCCTTGATATCCTTGCTTGCAGACCATGAATTTCTCCAGGAGCAATTGGTAACTATCTGTTAAATACAGTAATTCAGTTAATTAACCCTCGACTGCCCCCCAGCTCGCCGTTGAGCAAAAATCCCGTGGTGCAACGCAGCCTTGATCTGCGATTTCGAAGTGCCCAGGCCCGCTACTACCTCAAATGGTGCTCGATCAACGTCGTGATCCTTTCGGTGCTCCTCTTGGACATTTGCCAGGCGTGCCGCTCCGTGTACCGGACGTACTACTTCCTGGCAGAGTGCACCGTCACCGCCGTGGTGGGCCTGAGTGCGCTGGCCTGCTTCGGCAAGTATGTGTGGTTATGGTGCGGCGGCGACCAGGTGATGGGCACCGACATCCAGAAGCTCCTGCTGGACGGCCGCGATGGTGAGAGGATGGCCGTGTTGCAAATGCGGCAGTTTCTCACTCTTTCCTATGTATGTTTTTTGTCGCAGACAACTCCTTTAAGACGGTCTACTCACGGCCAGCGATGAAGCCGCCCAGCTATGAGCCGGACACAGATGCAGAGGACGACATACCGATCGTCAACTGGCACTCCTCCTTTGAGGACTCCTGCTGGGGCACGCAGTCGATGCGGCGCAGCCCCAGTCCCGCCCGGACTCCGGCGACGAACCAGAACGCCTCCTACAACTCGTCGATGGTGCAGAATAGCTCGCTGAACGCCAGCAACCTGAGCAGCGAGTCCACCTACATGTCCCCCTACGCCGAGGTGCGCCGCGAGGACTTCATTACCGATCCCCGCAAGCTGCCCGCAATGATGAAACAGGCGGAGCGCGAACGCAGCATGGTGGACAACGCTGAGGCGCCCAGTGTCCAAAGCATGGGCTCGGCCAACTCCTTCTGGAACTACTGTAACAATGCGGCCTACATGCTGAAGACCACCATCTACCAGTTGTCGCCAGCGCCGGCGGCTTCTACGGAGAACGCCCCCACCTCCATCGAGGAGTTCGGCGGGTTCCAGTTCAAGGACAGCAACTCGGAGGTGATCAAGCGCATCTCCACGGACAAGCTGTCGCAGTACGTGGCGAACCTGAGATTTGTAAGCGGTCCATAGGAGCTTTTATTTCGCTTTGCTAATACTCTTGCTTCCCTAGTGGATGTCCACCACCATACTGCAGCGTTTGGTCAAGGAGATCAACCATGTGGACGATGTGTTCCGCCAGCGTGGCCTCGTCGACCTTAAGTTCGGAGCCGTAAGCCTGGAGAGGCTGCGCAAGACCGCCGAGAATCAGCAGTTCGTGCAAACCTGCGCCCCCATGCTGCCCATGCTGCTGCCCTTCCTGGACACCTTCAGTAACCAAGAGTACGTGGTGCAGCGCATCAAGGAGCTGTCGCAGGGCTCCTGCATAGCCGACTTCCGGTGGAACTCGGGCAACGTGCACAATGGTCAGGAGTGGGGCGAGCACCTGCCCACCGATGCTGCCGTAAGATTGAATCCGAGAATTTCCAAAAGTGAAATGATTGTCATTATTGTGTTATATTCCGCAGATCCTCTTCCATTTGTTCTGCGTTTACCTGGACAGTCAGCTGATGCCGTTGCCGCAGGGCGGCGGACGACCCTTCCACTCGCGCTACGTGCTGATGCGCGATGAGAAGCGCTCCACCAAGGACATTGTGAGCGCGGTGCACAACAAGGCCCACTGCGCCATCCTGTCCACCAGCAACCAGCTGAACCCCAAGTTCAACTTCATCAGCGACAAGGAGCTGCACAACTGCGTCTACGACCGGAACAACCTGTTCTATGTAATCATCCAGTTCCTCATCTACATGCGCCAGCACCAGGAGTCGGCCCTGGAGGGCGTCAATCTGGGCAAGAGCGGCATCAACATTATGTGCGTCGTCGAAGACTGAGGCCAAGAAACCAGGGGAACCCTTAGACACCCTTCAGACACTCGTTATTTGTAAGCATCACCTTCTGACTCGACCTCGACTATCCAGTGTCCAGCGTAGTTCTCATCATCATTCGTCACTATTAAATTATGCATTTGAAATTATCAAGTTAATATGCTGACTGTATACAAGAGACGCTGGGTTGTGGTTTCGCGGTCATCGGGTGTCATGAGGCCTGCGGTAATTGCGGTCTGGTCTGGACAATTAACTTGTGTGGAAGTCAGGCGGGAAGACAGGTGCACAGGTGGCCGGCTTTAATTGCCTTCTCATGATTTTCACCATTGCCCGACCAGTTGGTCAATGGCCCGGGCTGCAGCCCGCACATGCTGGCGTCGCATGTGCACCTAGCCGCCGTACACTTCCGAAAGTGACAAAATTAATGGTTTCCGCCGACGCTGTCGACAGTTTGTCGAGTGAGAGACATTGAGAAAACGCTGCAAGGAAGCCGTCAGAAGCCCTCGAGGAAGTGCCACAAGCTGGAGCCGGCGCTGAAGTGGCATCGGCTCTCGACCAGCCGCATTACCATTTCTCTTGGCCATGCTCATTGCTGGGCTCTGGCTTGACGTTGAATCGGTTGGCTGGTTATTTTAATGCGCCCCCACCACCGCCTGGCTGGCACCTCGGGTGAGTAATGTGCCCGGGTTGTCAACTTTACACTTTTATCCCTCGCATTATATTTGCTTTACCTACACAGCCACTCGCTCACCCAGCCAACCCACCCACTCGGGCTCCCTCTGGGTGTGTGTGTGTGTGGTGTGATATGTTTTCCTGATACTTTTTCTCAAGTTGTAAATTGGCTTAAAAATAATTTGTCAAAGCATTTCAGCCGGCGGAGATGAGATGCCTAAATGGGAATCGGAGTTGGAACTTGGCACCCGGAGCCGGGAGCCTTGTCTCGAGCCATTTTCTTGTCACAATATTTGGACCCTCGGCTGATGGAGTGAAATTCCTTTAAAGAAACGCATGTGCGCGTCTTCATATCCAATTAGAAAAGTTTTCCTTCGACTGCTCCGTAATTGTGTTGATTAGTGCGGCTCGCTGGGTTGGGAGTCTCCTCGGGTGTGACTAGATGGCAGGGTGGTTGCTGGGCTGGGTTGGGTGCTCCTCCTGCTAATACCCCCGCTGCTGACAAAAGACGCCTGGCCGGGTTGGATGGATGGAGGGATTGTTTGTCCCCAGCTGCCTGCCGGCACTTTAAAAGAAAATGCGCATTAAATTCGATTGGCAATCGTCGTACACTCTCGCTCAATGGGCTTTTTCTTTACGGCTTACACAAATTTTCATCTAATGTCGCTTTGAAGCAGATTAACTATCCTTGAGATGACGAGAGGCGTTTCTAGGACATGGAAGGATGTGAATAGATGGAGGATAGCAGCTGGAGGAGCTGTCGGCAGCTGATGAAAGCGAAAGTGGCAGAAGGTGTGAATGACGGGTAACTATTTAGACTTAAATTAAATGTTAAAACTCTATTGAAATCTAGAAACTTAACATTACTTTACGATTTAAAATAACTATTAAACAAACATATAAACTTAAATTAATATAATAAAATTAACTGAAATATACATATTCTTATCATTCATTAAGTTAGGTTAATGCCTGAAAGTAAGATTAATCTAAGTAGAAGTACATGTATAACCATTAATTTTGTAAAAATAGCCCAAAACCCATAGATAGATAATAGCATTAATAAGTCTAAGCTCGTGGCTTAGGTGGATTTTTCAAACAAAAACGGCGAGAATCCTTTAGGAAATGGAAACGAGCTGCCTTTAATGAATCCCCCACTCTGTTTTAATGCCGCTGAGCTCGATAAAACCCGATCAAACTGCACGCGGGCAAACTATTAAAATAAATTTATTATTCCACCTCCACCGCAGTCGGCGGCCAGTCACTTAGCCACCGAACCGGGCTCCGTTGGCCTGGTCAGCCAAATATTGACACACAATAAGCTGGTCCGGGAGTCGGAGCTTTTACTTTCCGGCTTTCCTTTTTGGCCCTGCTTATTTATTTATTTTGCCATCTACTCCGCCGGGGACGAGACCAGGGCCAGGACCATCACCATGGCCAGGACCACAACCATGGCCAGGGACATTAATGAAAAAAATATTTTTGCCCATTATGCGCCAATATGGTCAGCCATATTTCGGTTTATTTAATTTTGCGCAAATAAAACGGAAGTGGCGTTTTTATTTTCCTCCTCGTCCAGTGGCATTCTCAGATCGACCCCGCCCCCATTTGGGATGGCATAGTCGTGCGCTACATAAAATCCTGATGCTGATGCCTTGCGACATTGTTCAAGTGCCAGGACGCGAGGATGTTGAACAAATACGGATTTTTTTAGCGCATATTTTAAACAAGCAATTTGTGTAGTTCCCGTTTAAAGACTCCTTCCGCTGGGCACGCCAGTTGCGAGCTTTCCCAAGCGCCCCTAAAAATGGAAATGGCTGTTATTTCCTTTGAGGCGGCGACTCTTGATTCCGGGACTCGCCTTCACTCCCTGTTAATGGCCATTCTCACACAGCAAAAAAAGATTACATTAAACGCTAATCGAATGGCTATAAATTCAGGTCAATACTTTCAAGGGATTATCTGTTCCAAGGGTATTAATATAATGCCGATAAATACTTTAAAATCTCATTTAAAAAATGTATTAAATAAACTAAAGAAAAAATTAACATATCGGGAGATAAGCCAGGACTCTTAAAAGTTGGGTAGACTATACATAAATTTCCAATCCAGAAAATTAGCTTTTGCATATGAATCTTTTGCTCTGTGCGTCTGCAGTTTTGAAGCTTAAACCCTTGCAGACACATGCAACCGAATCGGCCATTGAAATATTAATTAGCAGCGTGTGCTGGGAATGGCTGCAGTGTTTGCTTGACTGACGATTGCTGCAGTGCAACCACTCAGTCCTGCTCCCACCTGCTTGGCCCCGATCCTCCCCTGCTGATAACTTACGCAACTAATCTGCGCTATGCTCTCCGGCATGTGTGCTCCTGTGTGTGCGTGTGTGCCCAGGGATCCGGGGGCATTTGCATTTAATCGGATTTGGCCAGATTTCAGGTTGTTCTGCTGATTCCAGAAAAACGAAGGAGCAGACCAAAGTCCATTTGTTGTGTAATTTCCGTATGGGCGATGAGTATTCCTGGCTGGTCGGCTGGCGGGCTGGCGGGCTGGCGGATGAGTGGACCACAAGCAAAGCTAGTGAGCAAGTGGCATCATGACAAATTAACATGGCCCAGCCGGCTCCGGACTAGACTCGATTGCTGCTGCCCATCGTCCCTCGCCGGCTACTCCATTGTCTACGACCTCCGTTTGGGGAGAAGCAGCCTCCAGGGCGGTTGCCATGGATCGCAAACAGAGAGAAAAATCACACAGAGATACTTAATTTACCTTGGGAGTTACTCTCCTTTTACTACGAGCTTACTGCTGAAATAATTAAAGATGTAACAGCCGTAACTTGGGTGAAATATAGTTCGTTCTAAAGAGTAACATCTACATTTTGTAAACTTTCTGTAAAGTTAATTATTTTAAATAAATATGGTAAGCTCAAGCTATATTAAGTATACTTTATACTTTATAAAATGCCTTTTCAATCGTCGGATATACTATTCTTTTCATACATTTTACCTCTACATTTCGAAAACATTAAACTTTAGAGGGTGTTCCGCATTCGAAAGCAAAGGCCTTACATTGCGCGTAGGTAACGAACCGGAAATGTCCTTAGCATTTCCGCTTTATATCAAATATAAAAAATGACTGCTTTTAGACGTATTTGACAAAAGTTGTCTGTCACCCACACTCGCTGCTGCTGGTGGCCGTGGACCTCATGGATACACATGCTCCACCACGCATATAGAGACATATAATTGCATAAATCAAACTCAAGCATGCAACATGAGAAATCGCATTAATTTATCTGCTCACAGCTCGTGCAGCCGCCGCCTATGTGGGACACTCCGGGCACGCCCCCAGATGCTGCCGGATACTCCTGGCACGCCCCTGCCCGCCCACACACGCTCCGGAAAGGCGCTGGGTAACATATCCGCTTATGTCAATTTTTTTCTACCACTCGGAGCGGGGCAGCATCATCAACGCTGCTCTGCTGCTCGACTCCTTGCTCCTTTGCTCCCTTGCTCACCGCCCCTGCTCTTCGTGTCCCCGCCACTTCAGCCAGTTGTCACTGTCAGTTTTGGCTTCCAGTGTTTTGTCACAGCTCCTGGCCTGGCCTGTCCCGCCCCGTCCCGCTCCTGAATCGGGTCCTGATCCCCCATCTAACTGCGCTGTCGCCTGGCTTGTTTGTTTAAATGCTACATTTACTTTATGGATTGTTGCTATATTTTTTCTTCAACTCGCAACCCGAAAACGGGAATGGCGTATAAATTTCACGTCAATTTTTATACAGTGTGCGAGGCGGAAGGCTCGGAGCTCAGCTGGGTGAGCCCTTGACTGATTGTGGCCCGTCAGAACTTGCTCGCCTTTAATAACTTGGCCACACAAAGCCGCCCCCGGAACACACCGCACCTACTAAGACCTATGTATGTATGTGCGCAGGATATGCCCGCTAATAACCTGGCTTTTTGTCGGTCTCCCTTTTTCCCACTTTAAGTGTCCTGTTCACGCTACATAGTTTAAAATTCTTTATAATTGGATTCCCAGCTTCCAAAGCCCACTCACTCCGCACATTTTTTATGGCCGGCCTCGGCCAAGGCAAGGACTAGCCGGCTGCAAAAGGATTTTACAGTTGACGCGTGCAAACCAAAGCTCCCATTCCCGTCCCTTTTTTGTCCGGCACCGGACAAGGATAAGGCCGTGGTCCGTAGTCCGTGGCCCCGGCCGCCACCCGCACACATATGGTCGGTATGGAGTGAGTGTGTGTGTGGGGGCAGGGATGTGATGATATGTTCCATTTCACACGGCGGCGGCAATCCTTTCCACCGCACACAGACACACTCGCCCCGGCCACAGGAGCCGAGATTTATGCTTTCTTGTAAACAAAATAACGGACATGCTTGAGGCTTTTCGGCAGGACCTCTAAGGTGGAAGTGCGGAGCCAGCCAGCCTAGGGCCATCCGGCTGACAACGGGATTAGGCGCATGTAAACCTGCGTGTT